GTGCAACGTCTCCCGTTTATCAAAAGGAGAAAAATTGCAACAGTAAATTAAAAACAATCACGATTATCCGTTTCCCGAGAACGTGAAATTGAAGGAAGTTCGATATAAAAAATTCCGGAAGCTGCACGTCCAAATTGTTCCTCTGCGACTCGCGCTGAAAAAGTCCATTTTCCCAGCATTGTTCCCCCAGATGTTGTGCCCAAGACCGCGAGGCAACTCGTGCACTTTAGACCCCAGGACGGACGCACGCATAATAGATAATTCTAACGAGTTACGTAGCGGACATAATGCGACCCGAATTAGCAAAGAATCGCGGACGCGTAGCAACTGCATTTCCGGTTGGCTCGCGAGCAGAGTAAGGCACTTTGAGGGCGGTCTAATTCGGTACAGAGAATAAATTGTCGGAAGGTGCCGGGCCGTGTGTCTCCCCCCTCCTTTCAAGAAACGGCGCCCGCGGACCGGGGATGCACACGCCCCCGCGGAAGAAAGGGCGAAACGGAAACGGGCGCGTAGTCGCGTGAAAAAGCAACGGGCGTAACGGTGGCTGACGCGAGAGAGAGAGACGGGGGGGTAAAAAGGTGGTCCCTTTTGCGCAATTTGCCCGAACGTAGGAGCAAATTTTCCCCGGTATACAAAAGCGCTCGACGTTTTAAAGCACGGAGGGGGGGCGGGGGGGGCCAGGAGCCGGCGATTGTCGCGTGCTCGCGCCCTGTCTACCCGCTTCGAGCCTCGTTCGCGCGCCTCGTGAAACCACGTACACGGGGAATCGACGCGAACGAACACGAGGAGCGTACGTCGGGAACGTGGCCGCGTCCCCCGAGGCTCGCGTTATTTTATGTCGCTTGTGACTCGAGCGTTCCCCCCCCCCCTTCCCCCCAACGTTTCCGTTTCCATCGCCTGGCAGGCATCGAACGAAACACGAAGACAGAAGCAACGGCCAGAGGGTGAAAACGCAGGGAGGCAGAGTGGCGTTCTATGAATACGTTTGGAAGTTCAAACGACTATGTGATTTGCATGTGTCTCCGAGGTGAAGCCGACCGGGGGGAGTGGAGGTGTGCACCCGGGCTCGCACGATCCCCCTTTTACGCCGCCGACAGTTCCTGGCGACGAGCAACCTGTTCTGTCTGAACGTAACCGATAGAACGCCTCGGTGAACGGGAGCCTCTATTTTTCTTCGTTCCTAACGGCGTTTAGGTCCCGCCCAAGGAACCCCCGCCTCGAAGACAACGATGTCGTTTAACTAATTCTCTTCTTGCCAAACAGAGTTTATTTAATTTCTGCACGATCGTAAATGATTCCCGGTAATTTAATAAAAATTAAAGCGGTGAAGTTTCCTCAAGAAAGAAATTATAGCTCTACTAAATAAAAGAGTGTTTAACGTCAATGAATAAAAGAGTGTTCTCAACGTCAGCTTTGTAAGGTATTAAAGCGAAAAAGTTTTGTGCTTGTTTATAAAGAAGAGAGAAAAAAATCTCTTTAATACATACTTTATCAGCCTGACGTTAATAACTCTCGTTTATTTATTGACCTCGAACAATCTATTCTATCGACGTTCCATCGTGAAATTGTGAATTTGGGATTGCGAGGAATATGTTTTTAATTTTATTTAATACCAGAGAGAGCAAGATTAGGCAGAGCATAAGCTGAACTCTCTCTCTCTCGAGCCATTTTCTGTAACGTTACGTATTATATCGTTCCATCCGTAACATTTCCGTCTTAATATTGTATTAAGGGTTGTCGAAGGGACTCGGTTCGACTTAGATAACATATTCTGTAGATTGGAAGCCCCAATAAACACACCGACCCGCTTCATATCAGTAATAGCAATCAGAAGCTCTCGACGTGACTGACACGTGAATTGACAGTAGAACGTGACCCGCCTGTAGTCAGACGTTCTCTCATATCTGTTACAGGACCCCTAAATAGTCCTCTCCCGCCTTCCAAGAGGGGATAAATACAGCAATATATCTCTTCATTCCACCAAAACCACCCACCATATATTTAAAACTATTACCCCGTGTAATTTTCACAAACCTTCCGTAATCTCCAAGGAACAAGACCTTTTTGATTAAGCTTTTTGAACAAAAAGCTTCTCAAACTCGAACGAATCGTTTCGAGCATTTTACTCCTATCGTAAAACATTTTCGAGTCATCCTTAAAACATGAAGCTACTGCTCTTCCAGTAAAGCTGAAAGTTTCAATGATTATTAATTATTCCGAAACTGAGAAGAAGGAGGATTCGAGTGTTTGCAGAAAAATTTGTACGCAAAGTGGCCCCGGGGGGGTAAATAGAAGGGCGGGACGTAATTGCTACGGTGGATTTATCTCTATGTAAACGTAATCTGTACGACAGCGAGCTCGCGTACAGGTGCATTCCGGCGGACTGGCATCTGTTGCAAACGGTCCCAGCATCCAGAATCGCGTTCGTAGCAACGGGGACGCTCATAGGTGCTTTAAATCGCTGAGCACCGTGAAAGGGGTGCACAAATCATGAAGGATGCTCCCGACATCAGTACTTGTAATTCAACGCGTACACGCGCGCGGCGAACGATAGGTCGGGGACGCATGAATGCCGGCGAAGACTCGGGCTCTGAATATTTCATTGAAAATTCTTGCAACTTTCAGCGCGGTTCCGTTGAATTGCGGGAGATTTGTTCGGGTCGGTCTAGCGCGGGCGTATCCGGCGGACATTTAAAGGGGGAAAAGAAACCGCGTTTCAATGTAAATTGCATCCGTAATCCCTGTTTTCTCCGGGGGTCTTTAAACACGCCAAGTATCAGCCATCGCGCTACGCGGGAGAATTCGACGACCTGGATCACCGTATTAAAAGCGTATTCTCGTACAGCACTTTTGGGCATCCTCTCTTTTGTACATTTATACCTCGGGGGGGATCTTAAAACCGCGAGCTTAAAATATTTCGGTGGGTCCTCGTTAAAGGGAAGATGATTTTTTTAGCAAATTCTCTTCCTGCTTGCTATTTAATCTCGTTAGAAAGGAGGCACTGTTCGAGAAGATTTCCTACGGATGCATTCGAAACGCCCTTCTCGGTTCGCGAAGTGGTTGTTTCCGTCGACTTTCGCCCGACCCTTCCGAGAGTAACGATGAACGCGATGTTTATTGCCCGGGATTCCTTGCTTTATTTCCGCGAGAAGTAAGACCGTTGGACCGACTTAACGTACCGGGACGGCTTACTTGGAAAGATTTCCCTAAGAGGGTTGATTGAAAGGGAGAAGACGGGGGCGATTTAATCGACCAAAAGCGAGCCAGCGATCGTACGGCTGCCGACGTTAACGAGGGACCATACAAAACTGATCCTTTCTGTTCGATTTCGGGGAAACCTCCATTGGCGAATATGGAAACCCTCCGCAGAAATAACAGATTTAACAAATAAAAACAAATAAAAAAATATTAGAGATCTAGGAAATATTTTATACGTTCCTAACGATCGCGCCAGGTAATTTGAAATAAATACAAATTGTCACTCTGATGTTAACTCCTCGAAGCTGTGGAAGATTTATAAAAATGATGGCGCGTCAATTGATGCGTGACTCGCCATTCGCCGGAAGCTTTCGCCCTTAATCCCGAGGCGATTGAAAATGCGTGTTCCGTAAGAAGCAATCGGACCATCGATCCCTCATCTCGATAATGTAAATTTATTCGCGCCGATTAATCTCTCTCTCTCTGGATTATAGCCGTCTCCTCGCGGACTTGTTCGAACCAACGCGGATTTTTAGCGTCCGGCAAAAACTTTAATGGAAAGATTATGGCACTCCAAAGAACACCATCGTCCACGAGGGAAGTTGAAACACAAATTGAACAGCAGACGAACTACTCAACTTGGCAATTGGATAATATCGAAGACGGACCAAAAGTGCCCGTTCGCCATTTATCTTAACATCGTGATTACTATTTACGTTATTATTTCTTTATTCAGTACCTTGCAAAGAGTTGAATTCTGTTTAAAATTTAATAAGAAACTTCCCATCGTTCTTCGATATAAGCGACTCCAGAAAAGAGTTCATTTAAAATGTCAAATATCTCGAACAGCGCCAGGGAATCAAAGTAATTCCAATAGGGTAAGAGCAACAAAAATTCCAATTTCGAAGTCCTTTTATGCTCGTTCAATCTGGAATATCGATACGGTATTAATGTTCATTTCCATATATTATTATTACAAACGCAAGTATGCCCCGTGGTGCCGAATATAGAGGGTAGCCAACTCGAAACAAAACTCGTTAAATTCGTTTTAAAGGAACCAAATTCTTCGATTCCAATGGATGTTCGTTGATTCATGCTTGTTATATCTTGAGTTATACTGCTTGTCCAAGTTTCTGGAACTACTCTGTAGCAATAATTTTTTTTGATAATAGTGAGACTTCGTTTCTGAAATTGAAATTGTCATTCCAAACCCAATATTCCACAGATTATTAAAAAAAGGAATAATGTAAAGGTGTCCCGTTTCTGGTGGACCACCCTGTACGTGGGGGCACTTGGCGTCGAGGGTGGAGGCTCGATCGTTGAATTTCATTACGCTGAATAGGTTCGAGCGGCGAAGGAGAACGATCGAAAGATTGAAAGCCCGTTATAATCCCCGAGCCTTATTAACCTTTTGAATTTACATTTCCGCGGTCGTTTTCGCGCGAGCATTGTGTACCAGAATCGCGAAACGTCACCGTGGGGCATGATTCGATTCGCCCGGGTCCGACCATTGTGGCCCGGATCGAACTCGAACGTGCAAACCTGCGAGGCGGCGGTGGTTCCTAACCCTTTCATTCCCGGGCTGTAATCGTGCGGTTACACGCTCGGAATTATCGAATAAAAAAATTACTGCCACACCAGGGGCCCTCGAATCCGCGAACACGTAATAATTTAACCCATCGTCGGTCCTAAAGTTGCGCCATTATCTTTTAATTTCTTGTAATTTCATTTCCGACCTATCGATCGCCTTTAAATTAAAATTAACTTTATCAAGGTTAATAAAGCTGAACGTTACGTTTCAGGATCGTGCAACCAATCGCTGGGGATGGAGTCTGGCGGCATACCGGATTCAGCCATTACGGCGTCCTCGTCGTATGTGACGAACGTGGGTCCACGGAATGGCCGGTGAGCGAATTACTTTCACTAATTATTAACGAAGACAAGAAAATTTATTTAAACGCATTTTTAAATATCGATGGTGTACAACTTTAATGTGGTTCAATAGACAAGACTTTATTTCTTCATTATTACAAAATTATATTATTTTTCGATACAAGCAACAGAACTGTACAAAAATTAGACATTTATTTCTACTTTGATTTGCCATGGTTGTGGTTCGATGCACACTTGGGGGAAAATTCATCACGGGAATTGATAATGACCGCATACATATACGACTATATGCAGAATTTGATGCATATCCATAGATTGAATAAACTCCCTTAGGACTGTTTCCGAAATGTGCAACAACGATGCGTTGTCCTGCAACACCTGCAGCCAGGTTGCATATCTAATTTTAGGAAAATGCGACAGGAATTTCGAGTCGACTGCAGAACAGGAATTTTCAATTAGAAATGATACGTTGCTTTGCACCACAAATGTATCGATTTGCAATGAGAATTTAAATACGTTTTAACATCAACACGTTTTCTCACAATTGATCGACCAAGATTCTTTTAATTTTAATAATATCAGAGACTGATTCGTGAACACGAGTGGACGATGTCTCCCAATTATAGTAAGCCCTCGACGCGACGTTTCGTTGCCGATTCCAAGGCTCCGTGGTCCCAGCAAGAACTTCGCTTTTAATCGGTTTCGGGGATTCACGGTCGGCGAAATTAATAGATGGCCGGCGGAAATCCGATCGTCGCGGCTCGGTTTGCGCGACGTCTGCGAAAACGCTGGCGGAGAAAGAGGTCGGGGGATGCACGCCCGCCCACGGAGGGAATTTAACGCGCGACATTGGCAGCTTCGAGGGAAAAATATTATCCGGCCGGTAATTGCGTTGTTATTGAGTAAAGGCAGCGGGTGAATGCAATTCGCGTGATCGAGTATCGGGGCACGACCTTGCTCGCCTTGCTGAGCGCGTATTTTTTCGCGGTTTTTTCCAACGTCGAGCGCGGAAACTGAAACGGCCGTGTGTAGGCGTGATTCGCGTTACGCGATTACACACACGGTTCCGGCCTCCGATTCTGCCTCGCGTTTGTTCCCTGTCTGTGTATCGAAGTGGATAACCGAATATATCGACGCGTATAGGCGGATAGATAGACGCTAGCATCGCTGGATAATAATATCCCTTAACCTTTAGAGGGCTGGACTTTATTCGATAAAATCTTTGCGGATTTTATAACAAAAACTTGCGTGTACACAAAGTACGTTCTGGAAACTGGGACAGGCCGTGGCTCCCTTCCAAGCGAAGATATAAAAAGTTCGTTGGAGGAGAAGTTTGAATCGCGTTGGGATTATCTTTCGTTGACAATATATTGTTTTTTAATTTGAGCTGTGGATTTTATTTTTTACATAAATCTTGCGTTTTTCCGTATAAGACAGCTCGATCTTTGAGTTGAAAAAGTTAATACAGTACTTATAGAACAGTGTATAATGCAAAATATAATATGAAGTATTTAACCAAAACCAGGGCAGTGAATTCCTTATTCTCAATAAATAATATTTGTAGTCAGATTGTGAGACAGATTTTGCAAGTATTAGCACGGACGAGGTATAAGACCTTACTCCTTATGGACCTTCATGGCCTAATTTGACTGCCATACCATCCTAAACATTAAGGTACATGCCTAAATTTTTCGACGAAAATCAAAAGTTTCAAATCATTCTGGAAAAATTATTTTCAATTGCAGGGGTCAACTGCAATCATTTTTGGTCAATAGACATATCCTCGAATTCCTACCCACTTTCGAGAAAAAAATTCATTACCGAAAGATGTAATGCCTGACCATACATTGATATGTTTCCCTGAAATTCTTCGCCGAAAAAAAAAATTTCAAATCACTCTGGAAAAATTATTTTCGATTGCAGGGATCAACTGCAATCATTTTTGGTCAATAGACATACCCTCGAATTCCTACCCACTTTCGAGAAAAAAATTCATTACCGAAAGATGTAATGTCTGACCATACGTTGATATGTTTCCCTGAAATTTCTTTCGTATCTTTAAAACGTCATAACTTCTGAACGGATTGGAGGATTTTAATGTTTAAAAAAGCAAACGACGCGTATTTTAGTGTAGAATATGTAGAAATTCTAAAAATATTCGAAAAGTTGTTCCTTGACCCCGTAAACTGAGAAAAAACCCATAAAAGTGGTCCGACCTTCAAACAGCCATAACTCCCACAATAGTGAATATATTTCAATGAAACTTTTTTCTGAAGTAGAGCCCATGGATACCTACAAAAAAGTGTTGGACAAATTTTCTCTAGAGCATCAAACAAATTTATTAAAAATGAAATATCGACAGGTGCCTAAATTTTTCGCCGAAAAAAAAATTTCAAAGCATTCTAAAAAAATTATTTTCAGCTAGGAAGAGCAATTACAATCACTTTTGGTGAATACCCATACCCAAAACATCCTACGCATTTTCGAGAAAAAAATTCTTAACTGAAAATATAGTATGTGGCTCTAGGGCCCCAGGAAAATGGGCCGAAAAAATACATTGGATGTAAGGTCTACACATATAACTCGTCTGTGGTATTAGTAATATATTGACAAACACAATTGAATGCATTCGATGATTACCTACTATGATGGATCGAATAATTAGAGCTGGTGCCGCCATTATGCCAGGAACGTTTAGAAGGGCAACGTAATCCATCATTAGCCGTTTTAGGCAATACTACATCGCCACCGAAGCACGTCAATTTGAGGAATTATTACCATGAACGGTAATGTCTCGTAGTGTTCCGCCATTGGTGTGGACCTTATTCATTTACAGAGCTCAAAGTCACAATTTGCTCCAAGACACGGTATAATGCATTATAATATTAGCTATAGAATGCAAAAGGGAACTTAATTCTAACCTAGCCATGTGCTACCTTCCTCTTTACTCGAAATTAATCTAGCTTTACTCCTGAAACACTTAGCTCTATACTGAATTCAGTAGAAGTAGTCCGATTTTGGTCAGACGCTGGAAACGCCTTATGAATGTACATCGTTGAGACGTCTAAATCATTCCATATTACAGTTTATAAGAGATACATCGTTTAAAACTTCACATTAAGAAGGGGATTCAACAATAATATTTTGAATTTATTTATTTAATTATAACAAACTACACTGATACACTATACACGCTATCTGAAACTGCCTTATGTTAGATTCTTTAGTGAAACTGAATATATACTATTTATTATCAATCAATATAATATTTATTAATAACAATTTAATTAAAAAAACCTTGGTATTTAGTGTCAAATAATAAAATTCAGATTTAGGTCAAAATGGAGTCTGCCTTTCAGGGTTTAATCATCACGGAGCACAATATACCAGGTTGTTCGTTAAGTACCTACTTGTTCCAAGTATCGAATGCATATATTTAAATTACGAAATCATTGGAACGAGCTCGATGCTGGTCAGTACACGCTAGGAAAACGCGATCCTCTAATCAGCCGGCAAGTTAACTTCGTTATTAGGTACGAATAATGGGCGGACCGATAAGTGGCGAAAGTTTCGCCGAGTTCCCGTGGAGTCGATTTAGAACGAACGTGGAGCATCGGCGATCGAAGGAGAAGCGAAAGGGGAAACAGAGAGGAGAGACACGGGAAAGAAGTGAATCCCAGATTCGGTGTTTAAGCACGCTTCCATGGAAACCGGGGAAGTTCTTAAAACCGTCGAATGGCCCCGTGAATTGTTCTTCTTTGTTCGAATGATTGTTTAATGCCCGGAGGAGACTATAATCGTGCCTAGATAGAATACGAGCAGTCTATGAAACATTAAGCCCTTAATATACACGCGCCAGACACATTTTTATCGACTTTGTCGTAAAAGAATCGTTCTTCTCGAATCTCTTCTCAGAAGCTACAAACATTTATCAAGACATTCCACGAAGTAATGCATAAATAGGAAAAGAAAATTTGATGCTCGTTCAAATCATGAATAAACAAATCTGCAAAAGGGATGAAAATCTCCTTTTAATATGTGTAATAGATGAACTGTTATTCTTTAATTTGCGTTGATTGTTCTGGCCGACCGTTGGACAAATATCACCGAGGCAATTTCGTTTCGATCTCTCCTTTCATCCCCGTAATTATGTTCGTCGTATTTTGGACAGGCGACGTCGATATCTCCGAACGCTTTTGGCGTTCGTTGCGGCGATTTAATTAATTAACTCGTCGAAGTGGTCAACTTTAGACCAACCGAAAGCATCTCTTAGGGGCCCTTCCCGTCGACATTCGCCGGGGGGCGCGAGCGGAAATATAATGTCAATTAATTATGTCCGTCCAATCCCGGTGAAAAATTACCGGGCGATCATTGTAACGGCGGCGGGGGTGAAACGATCCGTGAATCGAGCGCGAACGATTTCAACGTCGCTACATTTTCGGCGCGATTATTATTGTGCAATTTCATCCGTTACCCGTCGGAGACGAATTTTCGATGGAAATGGAAATTGCTTTTACATCGCCCCTTTTTAAGCAACATAGCCGGAAATTTTAATTCCCGATACCCCCCGCGAATAAATATTTCATACAATTTTCTTTTAACGTATTTCACGTCTCGCGAATCGATTCCAATGCATTTCGTGTTTCGCGAGAAAAGATTTATCGAGCCAAAACGTTACGGTACGGCTAATTGGTGATACATTTATTGCAACGCGTCCATTGGGATTTATATGCGTGGTACTGTTTCGTGTAACTCTCTTTTTCTCTTACAAAATTCCAAGAATTTCAAGACAGTATTTGCAAACGTCAATAGCAAAACGTTCGATTAATTTTTCATATACTTTTCTGTTATTTTAGTGTCATGATCTCACAATCGTGAGACTACTTACTCGATATCACAGACGAGCTGTACGAGTAGACCTTACAACTTATGGACATTCGTGGCCCAATCTGACTGTCATACAAACCCGAAAATTCGGAGGTGATTTTACTATGTGAGTTGACTATGGAAGGGATTGAAATTAATTTCTAAATCTGTTAGTGATGTTTCAAGAGACATACGATGTTAATGGTGGTTTCGAGACCCCAGGAAAATTGGCCAAAAAAAGTACATTGGATGTAAGGTCTACTCGTATGTGACCATTGTACGAACAAATTCAAACAAAATGAAACAGTTACATTTGAAAAATAATTTGAAATTATTGCACAAAGGGTTGAACTATTTATTAGAGTAAGTAGAGCTGGTTTTAACGTGGTGAAAAAATTCTGTGGGGAACAGGTTACGGAAGGAGACGGCCGGCGGAGCCTGGTGCCCGAAGAGCCAAATAGAAAGAGGGGTTCGCGAGTGGCTGAAAGTGGATCTGCCCGGGCCTCACGTGATCACCGGTGTACAGAGTCAGGGTCGTTACGATCACGGCCGTGGCCAGGAATACGTCGAAGAGTATACCCTCGAGTATCGACGTCCGGGGTTCACCGAGTGGCGGCGATATAAGCGCTGGGATAACAAGGAGGTACGTGACGCCGCGTCGTGTGTACGCAGACGTGTGTTGACAGTGGAGAAGAAGTAAGTCAAGTCGAACGATACCGAATAACGTGACCGCAATCAACCGGTTTCTACCCCTTATTTTCCTTTCGCGAATTAGTCGCCGGTTTGTTGGCGAACACAGAAGCCGTATCTGCAAATTGAACGCGGCGCGGTCCAAGTGGGTCAGAAAGGATTTCCTCCGACAGCGGAACCTCGAATCTCGGGCACCCCAATTTTACATACGGGCTATTTTTAAACGCTTCGAGAACTCGTAGTTGATTTGAACACTAGCGATTAATTGTAAATTTAAAACGTAGACTTAATCAAAGCAGAGGGTAAAGATGGTTTTCACCCCTTTTCATTAATTTCTGTTATCGGAAGATCTTGCGTCGAAGAAATCATATTTTTCGAGGTGGTGTGTATCAATGAATATTAAATGCCTCTGGAAACGTCATATTGGAAGATTGGCCCAATAAGGAGGAGCGGAAATTGCACTGCGCCCACGGTGCTCGTAACGCAGGGTTAAGCGGCGAACTTTTCCGGGCTCCTTTTTGTTTACGGCGGAAAATCAAAGTTTACGCGAACAGCACTCCCGCACGAGAGCCCGGCGTTATCGTCGACGAGCGTAATCTCGCACGAGTCGTTTCGAAGCTCGTGACGTTACGCCCGCGACCGTTATCGCGGCGAACAGGCGCCGTTATCAATTTTCTAAATGGTATAATTCGAAACACGGTCCGGCTGTCCAACTTTCGAGGCGGCGATTAAATTTTTAGCAGCTCCGCCAGACCGGTTTCGTCGAATAATTAACCATCCGTCTGCGATTTCAGGCGCGATCGTTGTTTCGCGAATATTTTTGTTGCACTTATCGAACAATTAGCTTCAACTTCGACCTTTTGGGTCATCGATCGAACTAATGATATATATACTTGGTACTCGAGTTTAAATTTGATTCATAAGTGTATGAGATATTCCATAGGATACTGTCCATCGTTATTACACTTTACAACCTACACCAAACGCATCGACTTCCGTATGAATGGAAGAGTACGTACTCTTACCACGATAATGGATACGAATGTGTCAGTGCTCTGGTACGCCGCTAATGCAGTTATAACTGCGATTTATTCGTTCTTGTAACTGTTACGCGAAGGAAGCAGGTGCATTCGGATGCTCCAAATTCAATGGAAGCGACAGCATTTGACATTTAGCTGAACGTTATTACTGGCGTATTTTTACGTACTTTTACCAAATAATGGACGCCAATAATACAGTTACAACGAAAAAAATTAAAATTTTAAATTGTTGATCATTTTCTTTGAACCTCCCAGAATATACCAATAGAAAAGAATAGATTAACACACGCGACTGTCAAGAAATACGCGAAGATGTGGACTTGGGGATTCGAGGCACGCGTAACGCATGATACGGAGAGCAAAGAGCGACGAAACGTCTAACGAGCATATTTGATTATCCTATCAATCCGATATTCCTCACGGCCTGTGACGTCGTAGATGGATAATTTACGCAATTCGGAATAGACGGTGCATTAACCGTAGCATTACCTTCGTACTGATGCAATCATGATCTATGGCTAAACGGCGTGCGCGTGCACTGAGATTTTGGGCTAAGTTGATTAACATCGACGTCGATTTGACGCTGGCTGGCTCGTGCATCGTCTGTGTGTGCGTGTGCCCGCGAAATCGCGAACGATCGGCGCGGCCGCCATTGCTATCGAACAGAAAATCGTTCGGCGAACGCTAGGCCAGGGGTGAAATAATCGTATGGTGGCTCTTGCGGAAACTGTTACTCGAGTCGCGGCGACGCGTGCCCATTAATCGCGCGGTGTAATTAAATCGGCTGAATTATCGTAATTACCTCGATAATTATATGGCGTCGGGAATGTATATCGCCGAAACACGGTTCAGCTACAAATTTACTTACGACTCATTGATTGAATACATTTTATCGCAAGAATCCGTATCCTGGTAATTTATCCGGCTAGCCGATCGATAAATCTCTTTAATTTGAACCGGCGTCGAGACGCAGCTGTTAATTAACTGACGACGCTAAACGCCGGTTAAACGATATTTAATCCCTTGCAAATACAACGGGTCTTTTAAACGACGATTCTTCGTTGTCTCGAGGATCTCGTAAACTACGAGGGAAGTTTGAAGTTGACAGAAAAATATGACTTTAACGCTTTGCATTCAAGATTGGATAAGATACCTCATCCTTTTGGGTTCTGTTGGATCCCGGAAATATTCATGAAATTATTACCTGCAGGGAGAGGTTAAAGGCACGTGGTTAACCAACATCATATATTAAACATTGGTCCTTCGAGACCAATGCCTGCTGACCCACATTTATATCTACCATATTCTGTTTCGACCATATTTTAGAGACACCGCTGCCGATTTCCGGTCACATTTCATACGTGGCTCGCGTCACGCCGTTCCATCCGTTTTCCTTTCTCATTTTCATTGTACAGCGATAAGCATTTTATTCGAACAATAAATAACGAATGAACGCGTTGCGATTTATTCGATTAAACACATTTTTATTTGTTGTAGCATATCTCACTCCATAACTCAGATTCCGATTTTTATTGAACGCGTAAATAATAAAAAAACAAATTACTGTACGAGACATTCGAGTGACCTCGTACGAGATTGCCAGGCGTCGTATTCTTTATATAAATCATTAGATTTAAATAAGAAAGGATCGATTTGTGAATCTATGGGTTAACCATGCTGAAGAAACACAGTGGTGGGGATGACTCTGGTATTCTAAACGAGTACAACTGTCATATTTTTTAGGTTCTGGCCGGGAACAGCGACACCTCCACCGTGGTATCCCATCGACTAGTCCCGCCGATCTTCGCCAGCCAGATTCGTATTCTGCCACACTCCGAGCACAGACGCACCGTTTGCCTACGAATCGAGCTGAGAGGCTGTCAGGACACGGGTGAGTGCTACCAATTAATTTAAACAAACGCTCGAAACGCTGAAAACGCATCCGCGTTCCCACACGAAACGAGAAAGCGTACGTTCGTCAAAGAGCATCACGTTAAAAAGACCTTTTAACTAATATCACGAGAGGACAGGACTCGTAACATTCCGCGACGTAATTTAACGGACGTGAAACAAGTCCCATAAGTAAACACTTTCTTTGATCATGCAATCGTTTACGAAAAAGAAATACGCTACCGCGGGGACTCGTGTTGCAAAGACTTCTTCAATGCATGGATCCTGAAAGGCAACAATTTTAATGGGGCAGGTCGCAAATATTCAAATGTGCAGAGCAGACGAAATTGACGATCTGAATCTAGTAGAAAGTTCTCTCCATAGACCTACTTTTGGTACACCAGTTGTTCACATAGATCGAAAGCTAAAATTTGTGCAAGCTTCCTGGCTCTGCACAGTATAAGAATTTAGATAAAGGTCGAACGAGTGAACAGAAGTCTAATACAGATCGTGTTTTAGACTGGAAGCGTTCGAATTACAAATGATTTCGTTCGCCTGTAGGTGGAAATCGCGAAATTCGAAGATTCGAATCTCCGGTATTCGAGTCGCGCGACTCTCCGCGGGCAGAGCGTCCCCTGGAAGAAACGTGGCCACGTAAATTTGCAATTCCACGGGAATGTAAGGTTGAAATGCCGGACAGGCCGGCGATTAATTTCCAAATTGCAATTTCATTCAATTTGGCGAGCGGCCGCTGAGACGGCTACGAGAGGGAATCCAGGCCGCCGCGGAGTCCGACTGCGACGCTGGATCCCATTAACGCTCGTAACAGCGTTATACGAGCGAGAATCGTCGGTTTGCTCTCCGTGCATTTATTTTCGACCCACTTCTGCTACTCGAACGCGTCTAATGGAATCGATGCGGAGGACATTGTTCTCCGGCCGCGTTACGCGTTACTCACCAGCCCCGCCATTTTGTATCGTACGCAATTTCTACGAATATCCTCTCCACGCAACGTCCTTTCCTCTTCGTCGCGTAAAAACTGTAGGAAAACTGGGAGGACACATTGATCCTCAAATGGACTCTCAATCTCAAATTATTTTACTTAATGTTGATTTTGGTAAATGGAAATCAAACTTTAAAGCATTTAAAAAATAACGAATTAATAGAGGATTACAATAATTATTATTTTAAACTTGCAGAGGCCCCAATAATCCTTTTAAGAGTTAACTTTATTCTGCAAAGACGAAGGAAAGCAAAGGGGGCAACGTGTTTTTTTTTTAGATATTATAACGCGCTGGAACTATATTTCAATGTCTAACTCTATATATTGTCTTCGAAATTTGAGTGATTTAATATTTAATTCAAAACTCTGTAGTTTTCCCCCCTCATGGATGAACGTCGATAGAGAAGGGGCACAATTTGCGTTAGCAATTTATTTCCTCCGGGTAAAAGGGTGTGTTCGAAGGGATAAAAAAAAATGTTGCAGGGCAAATGCACGGTGCTGTTTTTCCAACGTCGGACAGAGACACTCGGTATCGATTGCGCGTGGAACACGAGATGTTAGGTCACCCCGGTTGTCATGAAAATGCTATGTTAACTGTAATGTAGAATCTGACGCGACACCGCGTGAAGGATCGATGAGAAAACCATGAGGTCGGGGCGGGGAACATTTACAGGCGAAATAAGAGGCTGCTATCATTTTTCATTACTCGTTGCCCGCCGCGGGAGACAGTGGTTGACTTTTATAGGTCACCGTCACTGGTCTATTGACTTTCCTTCGGAATGAATAAACATCGTGTTGCAAAATAATTGAATAGACTTCGCGATAACGTGGTTGGGATCTTCTGCACGGTGATATGTTACGAATATAATTAAAAAGGGATCGAAGAATTTAGTGCGTATGCAACGCCTGGCGCAAGAAAGCATCAGACTACGAGGGTCGTCTGAAAAGTTTTTAGCCTAACATGGAAACAAGTATTTTTCTGGTTAAATATAGCCTTATTTTTCAACGTAGTCTCCTCTTAAGTTGGTACACTTTTCCCAGCGATGCTGCAACCCTTTTAACTCTTCCAAATAGTAGTTGGTGTCTTGCCCTGCAAAGTAGGCATTTACCCCTCGTTTGATGGAAATCTCTGTCCTCCAAGGGATATTTTAAGCTTGGGAAAGAGTAAAAAATCGCTGGAGGTCAGATCTGGTGAACATGGTGGGTGGTCAACCAATTCGAAACGCAATTCGTGAATTTTGATCATGGCGATAGTCAAAACGTGAGCTGGTCTATCTTGACAAAAATACTGTCATCGATTGACACAAACAGCAACTAAGCGTCCAGAATTGCTGAAATTTTCACTTGTATTTGTCAAGGCATATATCATTGTACTACCAAAATGGTTTCGACGAGAAACGCCACCTTCACGTCGAGGCTCGAAACGTTTCAAACGACCCTCGTATTTCTGAACGGTTTTAAAACGAAGCCTCCGATCAATTGACCTATATTTCCTGTAATACGCGTATTAATATTTATGAAGTACGTATATAGTGCACCGAAATTAAATACAATTTTCGTAGAGTGCTGTATTTAATAAGCCGACGAGGAATAAAGGAGGAAGTATGAATGCTAATTAAAAGGGAGCAATAGCTACGGTGCTATTAGAATACTCGAAGCACCGGAATAAAAGTAAAAGAGTCCTCCTCCAGCGTTACATCGTCGTCCCTATCGCGCAAAATTAACCTTGCCTCCTCCCTCCCCCTCCTCCTCCACCCCTTGGCGAGATTCACGGATGATTCTCTACCCTTACGCTATATATATTTTTTTTAAATAAAATAGCTCGAAGCTCGGTACGAAATTTGTCCGCGAGCTATTTTTTGACATTTCAATCTAACGAAAGATAATCGGCTGACTACGCGCAAAGCAGCCGTTTCGCGATTCGTTCGTTGGAACGGGTCGCATGTAACGAGCACCCTTTATGCACCGGCATTTTATCGCGCGATTAAATGAACTTTCCCGCCCCTGTTTGTTACTTACCGAAGTAAAAAGTCAAACAAAGCGGGAACTGTAAATGTTCCTGGATACCATAACCTGGTTCGCGTTTTACGTTCCACTGTAAATAAAACTGGACGTTCCATTTTAAAAAAAAAACACACACACACACGCGCGACATTCTACGCGCGGATCTATAGAGAAATTGTCACCCTTCGAAAACGTTGAATTTTTTAACTTCACGTTGCTCCGTGTTGCACCAAATTGTAAAATTCTATCCACTTTCTGTTACTGTAAGTAACTGGAATTTATGGAAATTGTAGCTTCGCGAGCCACCGTTTCGTACCATTTTTCAACCCCCGTCGCGGTGCATTTCCAAATGGGGAAACAGTAACGAAATATTTTATGCGTTTGGAAAGTCTTGCGCAAATAATTGCGCGCGTAGACGGTGGCCAGTCTAACGAGAACTCGCGTTTCGTTTTCCATTTATAAATCAGGGACATCCACCGTAATCTACCCCAAAAGCCGCCCCCGGTAAGCAACGGGAACTTTTCGTGCACGGTTGTTAATTGTTTTCGTTACAATATTCCGGCCGACGCGGTCTCATTATGGCGGGACAATGGACGAAAAGGAGAAACTTCCAAGAACTTTCGGTTCGAATCCGACAGCGGAGGTGTTCAGTTTGAAACGGAAAAGCGCCGCGGCGTAAACTTCAACAACGGAAAGGGCACGCGAGTGGATACGTGGAAAATTCACGTTGTGAAAAATCTCTTCGATTTCAACGCGTTCTCTTCACACGTGCTTGCTTTTTGTCGATGAAGCAAAGAAAATTATTCAGAACGTCCAAATATTCGCGTTGCTTTTTTCTCTAAATATTTCGAGATGCATCGAGGCACGCGAGGTGAAATACAAATCAAGGAAATTTATATTAATAAACCTGTGCCCATAGATTGCCTTATTAATGTATGCTCGTTATCGTGTAAAGTTTGAAGAAAAACGCTTGTGCCACTTACGAGGAAGCCCGATAACAGTGGCGATCGTTGCAAAGGCCTCGTTGATGATTGTCGAGATAAATGGTGGTATATCAATACGAGGGGGATTGCTGAAATTTACGTAAATGATTCTTCCCGGGTCGCTGATGTCGTGGAACAGCCACCAGGTTGGCTCTGGGAAGAGGTAAACGTCGGCTGAGAGGGTCGAAACGGGCGACATGAGAGGTTTCGCGCTATAAGAAGCGTTCGGAGCGTGTGAGATCGGGCTCTAGTGGGCGGGAATGTGGGATTTATGGGGGCCGTGCACGACATCTGGTTAAAACAACGCCGACGCCGTGCCCTCGGCCGGTGAACACGAACGATTGCTCCCGAAACGCGGGCACACCGCGGCGGAGCCACGTAAAAACCGAGAGCTGAGCGGCGAACCACCTAGAGGCGGAGGCCGGAGACGAAAGGGGAGAAAAAAAATTTCCTGGGTCAAAAGAAATATCGCGCGACTACGAAGGAACTTTGCACGCGGTGCAATCCCCGAAAATGGTCGAGCCAAAACCAGCCCTCAAACGTGGGGAAAATTATTCAGCGACTCGAAAATAAATAGAAATTATATACGCCTCGCGATGGTAGAAACTTCCACGAGTGCTGGCGGAAAATGAAAAAGGAAACCCGAGGTCAGCAACTTTGTTGGAACAGCGAATGGAAATTGTACCGCGAACGTTCGACGTATTTGTGCGTTTAAAAACGAAAGAACGTTGCAGGGTTGAAAATAAAGTGCTCGATTGGAAATGCGCCACAGAACGATTACAATTTGCCAATGCACGCCGGGAAAAATAAACAGGCGTAAGTTCTATTCAGCGGCGAAAAGAAATTTAATTTGCGAATGCTCGATAACAAATAGGGCGGTGGTTGACCCCGACGGTTGGCCCGATGATTTAAGCAGAAATTTCGTTACAATGGCGGCGCACGGTGTACGGTTCACGGAAGAATAAATAACGCAGGATATTTAAATTTAATATAAAAATAAATTAATACACAGGCGAAACGGATTACCGAAAGCGGATTCATTTTCCGGGACGATAATGCCACGGTTCATCGGGCAAAAATTATTCAAACATATTTTGCAACAGAGAACGTATCCCTTTTGCCATGGCCTGCGTGCTCCGCAGATTTAATCATTATGGAAAATTGCTGGGGAGAGCTGGCGCCCGCAGTGCATAAAAATGGCAAGTTATTTGACACCATTCGTCGATTACCACCGCGGGTGAAATGGAAGTATTCATCGCGATATATGTTTACACAACTGTTTGATCGTTACCAAAACGTGGCAGAAATACTTTTAATATAATCTGAAAATTTGTCGAACTCTACCCTTTTCGTTCCACGATTATCTGTCCCACCAGGTATTTCGAACGTTCTCTCTCATTTCGGTAACGCGACACGGCTAACACGCCCGTTCCCGACTACGACGAAAGTGGCTGTCGAAAATGACCCGGCCGTGAACGAGGGAACGCCGGGGCGTAGGATTGATTTCGAAACTTGTTACGAGTGCACTCTTCGCCTTTGAGAGCGACTTCCCTGGAAATTGCTCCAACGACACTCGATGGAACTTCGTAATAATTTGGGCGGCTCTGCGGGTGAAGATTGCCAACGCGGATTAGATTAGCGGATTCACGGATTACGGAGCAAAGTCGCGGTAACGACGGCTCCGTGTTCGCGCGAGGCGTGAGTTTCGTTCACCGGAGTCGTTGATTCGAGACTGTGACGCCACTGTCGTTCGAGCGCCGCTGCTGCGCAAGGTAGATGCGCGGTAGATTACGAGGTAGCTTTCTGGTAGCATGTATTTAAACATTTAACGCGTAATAATATTAGAGACAAATATAACGAAAATAAAGGCGCAAAGGGTGGAAGTTCTTTTCTAAAATAAAACATTCGGATTGCACCGTGCCACGGAATTTCTGTTCCACCTCTGACAAGCAACTCCAGTGCAACGAATATACGTACAGTCTTCCGGTTAACCTGAATTCAAATCGTAAGTTCCGTTTTTCCGTCTCGAGTTACGATTCGAAATTTTCTTCGCGCCCCGGGGCAACGACGAAACTAGCTTGACCGCATCGCGTGACACGACCGACCGGCCGCAGACGTATTCACCGTGAAATATTGAGAGTAATTAGGCGATTCCGAGCACGGCACAGTGAAGTGGCCACGGCGTCGTTTTTGCCGTTCATTATTAATTTTCTCGCCGCGAGTGCTCGACCCCTCGACACGCTCGTGACACACCGCGCGAGCAATAATATCCGTGACCCGCTCGGCGATTCAACCCACGACAAACTGTTAAATAATTCCGCGCATCTTTCGCTACGAGACCGTCCTGTCGTTCGAATCGACCGACACGACCAAACTAACCGAAACACCTGACGGTCGACGCGAATTACGGATACTTCTTTTATTTTCACTTTGAGGTGGTGGATATAGGGGTGAGAAAAATAGAGGCTTCAGCCACCAACGCTTGATCGACAGAATCTGCTTTTAATCGCTTCGACAGTCAAGCATTTCTAGGGCTGGGATTTTTGTTAACTCGAGCAACAATTGTTTATCCTAATTCTAACGCAAACTGTCTCAAAATTGATCCAACTCCACAGGCAAACGGTTAAGTTGCGTTTCATTGTTCCCTGTATCGCAATTAATTCTGCCAAGATTGCAGATTCGCGGGGAAGACTAACATTTGCGATTGCACTTCTAACTGTTCCGAGTTTAGCTAGGTGGTACCTTCCGCTTATACTCGATGAACTAATCGACTGTCATACGAGAAATTATCTTATGTATAACGATTCAATATATTACAAAGAATAATTAAACTGTTATAAACAATAGTTCACGAAAGTATACCGAGAGAATCGTCCTCGTAGCTTTAAATGCTACCTGTGTACTCGATTGTTTGGACGGCTGTAGATGGTTTGATGGTGCTTTCGTAGCAAAATACACAGGCTGGTTAAATTGCCGTGGTTCTTAGTTTGAAGAGGAGAACGGTCATTATTTCTGGCGGATTCAAAGCGTTTGGTTTAATTAAAATAAGGCCACGTCGGGCTACGAACAGCACAAACGTTCAGAATTCTGAGAGATACAAGTTTGACGAACCAGGTCGACTTTTTCACGTTACTTCGCAGAAATATTACGCGTGAAGGTGGACAAGATTCGATGAACAACTCGAAGAAAATTAATCCGTGAAAGGTTCGCAGGGGTCGCGGAACGCGTGGACGCTGGTCTTTGAGAATCCAAAGCGAGCGCCACATCGTTCGGGCGAGGAAAGGTAAACTGGTTGGCAAAACAATACGCCCCCGCCTGGAAAACAATACCGCCGTCGCGGTGGTTCTTTCTTTCCCCCCCGGCACGCGACAGCCCCGCGTTTCTCTTTGTGCGGGGCAAAGAAACAGCGCGTAAGTCGGGAGGGTCGAGTTTGTTTTAAAAGAAAAGCGTCGTCCCACCCCCACTCGGAAGTTGTCAAGCGAAACTTTGCCGTGTTTCAGGTGGTGTTGTGAGATACACGGTCCCGGAATCCCCGACGCCGGAGCTGGGCGACATTTCGTACGACGGTAAAAGGCAGGACAACTTGTTGACCGATGGTCTAGGCTGTTTGATCGATGGCGAGGTCGGCGCGGATAATTACAGGCTGGACATGGGAGATGGAAGAGGTAATCGACGAATGGATACGCGGCGGAGTGTTAAGTGCCCAAACTAGAACCTATCGATGTCTCCCCCCCTAAATATCACGCCCAACGAAATTCATTTTTTATAGTTTCATCGAGTCTCTGGGTCCACATCCTCCGACCGTAGAAATCAATTTGAATTTTAGTCGACGAGGAACGATCGAAACTTTAACGTTTAACGCGGGGGTTCCTCTCTTCATTGAGGATGTTAAATAAATCGAAGCATTTATAGGAAATTTCTGTTTAATTTAATGGAGAATATTATTTTTTCCGAGGAATTCGACCGTAGATTCGAGGGGTCGCGTAATAAATCGTACGGGATCGCTGTTTAGCATTCGAGAATGGGAAGTCCTTATCGGTGCTTGGCACCCGCAAACAGACGCTGCAGTAGATTACTGGGACGCTTTACAAAACAGCGGGGGGGGGCGGGCTGAGATCGCTGGAGGAAAGGTTTCTTGCGCCCCGGAAGTTACCTCGAACGGAATCAATTCAATTAACGAGGGAAACAATAGATCAATCGGTGCTCGGGGGCTTTAACTTCGACTCGGTAGGAACGAAGTTGTCTACGAGGCCGGAATGGATCCGCGGCGAATGAATTCTACGCGACGCGGAAGCAGATGGGATTTTTGGTGTGTTCTTTTCTCTGTTCCCAGGCACCGGTTGGGTCGCGTGGATGCGCGACAGCCTCGACGACGATTACGTGGAGCTCGTTTTCGAGTTCGAGGTAACCTGGATCTTCGAGGCGGTGCACATCTATACCAATAATTATTTCTCCCGCGACGTGCAGGTAATCTTTTAATGCATTCCCTGTGGCCGGGCGTCTCGGGCCGCGCGCCGTGCCCATAAACCTCTTCGGTAGCGACGACCGAAGATAAAACTTTTAATGACCCCACTCCGTCGTTAGACGGCCGCGATATTTTCCAAGGGGCGAGATTACGAGGCCGGGCCGCGATTAAAACTGTCCCGGCGAATCGAGCTCGATCCCGTTGGCCAGTTCGCGATCACCGATACGATCGTGCGCATGAATTATTTGCGGCGGTAGTATCGAGCGACGCCCGGTGTTTTATATTCGGTCGCTACGCGCCAAGTTTCGCTGTCCCAAAAATATCTAGCACGACAGGTACTACAAAAAAGTTCCTCGATTCTCCACTTTTTTTTTTTCACATTTCGCCCAGCGGCCTTTTCACTCGAAACCGCGCGCCTTTACATAATTAAAGAATCAAATCTCGTGGACAAAATTCCTTACGCCGTCGTTACGAATTTTTAAACAGAAATACTCCGTGCACTGCTTGCGTAATTTTATTGTAATAGAAATTTCAAAAATTTTATTTACAAAATAAGATTCGTAATGAAAGTAATCTGGAGAATTTTTAATGTACAAATAAATAATAGTGAGATCTAATAGAACGTTTCGTTAGTTATAAAATACGGTAGTGAATAAAAAGAAATTAAGAAACGCGAGAATTCTCACAAAAATATACATGTTATTATTCTTAGTTTTTATTCCAGTCTCCGGGGCTATTTACTTCGTTATTTTATTTATATTCCATTGTTGTTTTGCTAGGTATAATCTTATCGATAACCTTTTTTCTATCCGACGATGACCTGGTTAATGGTCGAAAGAGTTCATATCCATATTACCGGAAACGTGTTCTATCGGAAAAAGATTCAATAAACGCTTCGACTGCCACGAAGACAACTTTATTAATACATAAAATAATATAATTATCAAACAAGCGTGACCATGTAAAAGTAAAAAGACTAACGAGCTTAATGGACAAACGTTTATTAAATTTATGTTTCGCCTCCTGCGTCTGGTTGAGAATTTGCAAATGAATAATATATAATTTAATAGTATAATTGATTACATAGAGGACGGAGTATTTGAATTGTTTACTCTTCTTATGAATTACGCAGCGTGGTTGCATGAGGGTTGTATTTTCGTTTTGTTCGAAATCAATTGCAATTTTATCAATAATTATTTTGTTTGTATGAATATTCAAGATACTATGTATAATTAATATGTTGTCCAATTCTTTTGATATAACGAACAACAACCATGTGGTTTTGATACCAGTTATTTAATCATTGTTTCAATAATGCCTTAGTTTTGAATTATTATCAGACTTATAATTATTATTCTGCCCTCGATACTGCTTTCTGCCATTAATTAAATAGTCTCTGTGCCTTTATTTCTATTTCAAAACGAATGCAACTGCATATACAAAACTGATACTAAAGACGTCTCCATTGTACACAAATCAATTTATATCCACGCCATAATTAGATTTGCAACAATTCCAAGAAAATAAGAATTATCCAAGATCCAAGCAAACAGAACTAAACATCCGCTCGTAGTGCCAAGTAAAAATCGTCGAAACAACCGATTAAAAATTATTGCCCGTTCCGTGGGGCATTACGCGGGCATCGAATGATTTAAAAATAGCGAAACCGCGCTCGAACGGACTTATGGCATCGGCTTCGGTAAATATAGAGAACCCATTGCGGGTTTTTCAATGGCGCGACGATATATAAATAAGTCGACAGCAAAAATGTCCTGTCAACGTGCGATGGAGCGCTCAAGTCAACCGAGACGGATTAAAAATCAGGCCTGAACTCTGCCCGATACGGGTTGTACAGCGAAATGTCAATGCGATAGACCGGATGGATAGCTCGTATCTCCTTTCATCTGGATGAAAGGCCCGCGCCATTAAAAGCGAGTCGGCCTTAAGTACCGGTTATTGCTTACACGGTGATTTGAACGAGTTGGTCCATCAGCCATCGTCTATTAAGGCGTGAATCTTTCTTCTCCGCGGTCGAAACGCATTGTTCGATCTTAACCGAAATGATTATCCGACCCCGAAAATTGAAATCGCGCTCGAACGAGAAGGTACGGTGCCAGTTACCATCCAGCGTACGATACCGATTGAAGTTATTTAATGACGAGAGGTATTACGTGCCCGGTAATTAATGTACCATTTAATTTGTCGATTAACGTGGCCTAGAACGCGGGATATTGACTTTCACGTACAATTGAGTCGATGTTATTGATTGAAATTTCATGGGAATTTCCGGAATAATGGTGTACTTTGGTATTGTTGCTCCGATCGGTTCCACCGATATATTGTTACGAGCAATGTAACCTTACTTTGCCAAATACGGACTGGTCGGTTCAAAGCCGCGTTAATTAATAGTATCGGCCGCTCTGTAACCTTCCAAAATGCGGACAATAACTGGGTTTAAATATTGAAGCTCGGGGGAAACCTGTCGACGGTTTCGACAGAGCCGTTTTGGTAATGCAAATGTCTGGAAAATCTACCGTAAATGTTACGCGAACAGGTGTAGAGGATATCTCAGAGATACGAGGCCGTGCTTGACGCGCGAAAATTCGATGTGCATTTCAATCCACGCGTGACTATTAAAAGAAAGTTTGTAAAAGGAAACAACTAGTACATAAGAAACATTAATTGTACGAGGATTGTTCAATAAGTCCTTAGAAAATCCAAGAATTGGCGCTCGTAGCATCGAAGATGATTTGTTTTTAGTAAGCTGTCAAAGTCTCAGTTATATCTACCACGTGGTTTCATTTTTATTGTCGATTCAAGCAAGAAACTTCCTCTTGTATCAAGACAATGCACAGCTGCACACCTGTTTTGATGGCCAAAATCATGGAATTAAAGTTCGAATTATTACAATATCCACTGTATTCAACGGATTTGGTCCCTAGTGATTTTTTTTTATCACCAAACTTAAAGAAATGGCTCAGTAGACAACGGTTCAAACAGATACCGAAATCTTACTTTTTAGATGGTTTAAACAAGTTGGAGGAACGCTCGTCTAGAAAAGTGTCTAGAGCTAAAAGGAGATTATGTTGAAAAATAAAGAGAAACTCCACCAAAAGTAATTTTTTTTCTAAGGACTTATTGAACGACCCTCGTATCTTCAAATCATGAAGTAACTACAGCTGATATTTCACGAATGACATTAAAAATGTGTGTTCCATCGTTTTATAAAAGAATACTGACATGTATAGTACGGGCCACGGTATAGCGAGGTCGTAAAGTCGAGTAGGTGTCAAAGTTTACACGTTTCTCCCGAAACAAGTGAATTCACAGAAATACGAGCAGCTAAGTGCCTTAGACCATAGTCAGGGCCGTACGAAGAAATGTTTTATGTAGTGTCTCCATTTTTAGAAAGCCATTTTTAGAGATATCGTGACAGGTAAAGGTGTTACTCGAGTCTTTAATATCTTAATTTACCAGCTTATAATGTATGCATGTAGAAAATGAAAAAAGATAGTGCAATTACAGCAGCAGTAGTCGGTCCCAACCCTCAAGAGTTTAGTTTACGACCTTGCTATATCGTGGCCCGAACTATAACATTAAAGTAAATCTCCTCTTTTAGAAGTTTTAGTAAATATCCATTTGAAGAGCGAGTTTTAAGCCCTGTCTGTAACAGATCGTTGTTTTGTGGATCAGGTATTCTCGAAAGCGGACGTCTGGTTCAGTCTCGACGGCGTGGACTACGAGGAGGAGCCACTGTCTTACTCCTACATACCGGACATCGTGCTGGAGAACGCGCGTAACGTCTCCATAGGTTTGCACGAACGGTACGGAAAATTTCTGAAGATACACCTGTACTTCGCCGCCCGATGGATCATGATCAGCGAGGTGACATTCGACGGAAGTAAGCTCTGTTCTTATATGGCGCTAGTCCCTCCATCGATCATTCAATTTCTACCTCTGGCGAGCGATCTCGAGGCAATAGTCTAATTAATCCCCAACTTTGTACTCGTTACTTGTCGCGGTGGGCTCTTCCAAAGGGGCTCCATGCAATTAGAGGACACTCGCGCGATCGTTGGGCCACGATTTATAAAAATCACGGTAACTTTCGTACCGTGTCGCTTAATTGCCATTCAGGGGTCGCGACATCTCGCCGCGATCTTGTTAAATCGGTAATGAACGTGGCTGTAATGACAGTCGGATTATCTCGTTCCGTATGCGCCCGGGAACGTGGCGCGTAACTTTTAACGCTCGTCACGTCTTCGCCTCGAGTATCTGCCCTTCCATCCTTCCAATTTCATCGCGAGATCCTAATGACCGTTCGAATTAACGGGGGACGTCGATGTGATCGCCGCGTTGCGGAGAAAAAACCCGTGGAAATCGCGAAACGTTTAAATATCGTGGCGACGATCGAAAAAAATCACGGACAAATTTGATTCGCGGGTTGGATTCGAAAACATACGTACTCCGCGGAGACAAAGATGATAATCGAACGGACGACTCGTTATCCGTAATGCGTTTCTCGACGTGTCGCTCGGTAATTGCGAAACGGTAACAGAAATATTTGGCGGCGGAAATGGAAATTCTGTTTGATCAACGAGGAAACGGATTTCACCCGGAATCCATGAACTCGTTGTTTGGTGCGCGATTATTTCCGGCAGATATTTGAGAAAAAAACATGGAAACGGGAATCCCGATCGTTCGCAGATTTATTCGTTTTTAATCTTCGAGCCGCCATCGTCGCAGAAAAATACGAAAATAGATAAATCGGATAGAACCGGCGCGTACGAGTGCAAATATTATTTCGTAAAATGGTTTTAATAACATGTACACTTATTCGAAATTCCAAACTGTCTGAGTTAAAATCACCGAGGTCTCCGACCTCGGTCCATAAATAGTATATTGGCATCGACGCGACGCTGATAGGATTACCGAACGAAAGGTGAAATATTTTCGATACTTCGTTCATTTACGATCGAATGGAAGAGTTCCCCGCCGAATAGATTAAACATGGCTGGTAAGATGCGTTTACTTATTCCAGCCAATCCCTACGAAAACACCACCGAAGAGTCAACGTCCGAGTTCAGTAACCGGGAAATTCCAATGAACCCTGAGGTGGATCTTAACTTGCAAACAAGTAAGTGACTCGAAGGCGGAGGCATTTAATTCGTATCAATCTCGAGTTAATTATACCCGGGGCATTCGAAACTTTCCTTATCTTTTTTATCCGGCGTGCCGTGCCCGGGACTCGAACTTAACTAATCACGAACAACGATCTTATTGCGCGATCGCAATGTAATGCGTTTTTAAAACGAAGTAAATGTACGAGTCGTTCGTTGCGGATGTTCTGTGCGACCATTCGTCTTTGTTTGGGACTAATCGTCGAAGAAAACTACATTCTTGGTAACCACAAACGGACTTGGGCTGTCTTCATTTTAATAACGAATGTTTTATAGAGGGTGTTCCGCCACTCCTGAGAAAAATTTTAATGGGAGATTCTAGAGGCCAAAATAAGACTAAAATTAAGAGTATCAATTTCTTGACTGAGGCTTCATTAAAAAGTTATTAAAAAATTTCAAATCACTCTGAAAAAATTATTTTCAGTTGCGGGGGTCAAATACAATCATTTTTGGTGAATACACATACCCCCGAAATCCTACCCACTTTCGAGAAAAAAATTCATTACCGAAAGATGTAATGTCTGACCATGTATTGATATGTTTCCCTGAAATTTTTCGCCGAAAAAAAAAGTTTCAAATCGTTCTGGAAAAATTATTTTCGGTTGCGGGGGTCAAATACAATCATTTTTGGTGAATACACATACCCCCGAAATCCTATCCACTTTCGAGAAAAAAATTCATTACCGAAAGATGTAATGTCTGACCATACATTGATATGTTTCCCTGAAATTTTTCACCGAAAAAACAAAATTTCAAATCGTTCTGAAAAAATTATTTTCAGTTGTGGGGGTTAAATACAATCATTTTTGGTGAATACACATACCCCCGAAATCCTACCCACTTTCGAGAAAAAAATTCATTACCGAAAGGTGTAATGTTTGACCATATATTGATATGTTTCCCTGAAATTTTGCGACGAAAAAAAAAGTTTCAAATCACTCTGAAAAAATTATTTTCAGTTGCGGGGGTCAAATACAATCATTTTTGGTGAATACACATATCCCCGAAATCCTACCCACTTTCGAGAAAAAAATTCAGTAAGTGCCTAAATTTTGCGACGAAAAAAAAAGTTTCAAATCATTCTGAAAAAATTATTTTCGGTTGCAAGAGTCAATTACAATCATTTTTGGTGGACAGACATACCCCCGAATTCCTGCGCATTTTCGAGAAAAAAATTCAGTACGAGCGAAACTTTGAACGTTAATAACTTTTTAACGAAGCCTAAATCAATTAATTGGTATTCTCGATTTTCGTCCTATTTTGGCCTCAAGAATGTCCCATTACAATTTTTGTACACCCTACATAATTATTTCGGGATTAAACTCGTAATAATAAGGGTGAAAATTATAAATCCTGAACTTAATAGCCCAACATTTGCTTTTTGAAACATTTTCTAATTCAGGAAGTAACTTACGAATTTGACGCAAACGTTGTAATTTTTGTTAGCACAGAATGCGAGTTGGGATTTTGAAAAATCCGTATTTCTTAAGCCGTGTACGCAGTTTCATTTTAAAGCTGCAGAAGTAATCGAGTTGTACATTAAAAGAGCGAACGAACCAATTGTCCCATTTTCCATTTCACAGCGATCTAATTTCCCTGTTTGCCAATACCGGCCTGCCAGGAAATTAATTTCCCAATTTCTTCGTAGCCGTCGGTCCGATTATACAAGCGGAATAAGCCCGCGATCGAGTTCGTCCTCTTCCACTTTGAGAGTACATAAGGTTTGTCCGACGAAGTAACTTCATTAGCGAAACCAGGCCGCCATTCTTTGCCGAGGAGAGGATACGATTAGGAGTCACGGCGAACCGTGCAGCAGACCGGGGAAAACTTGGATAGTTTATAATTCACGTAGCAACTTCGTCGTAACGTAAACAATTAGTCGGATTAAGAGGGTGCTCGCTCGAAGAACCGTGGAAAAGCTGGAACGTAAAGGGGTGGACTGGAAAAGAACTGGCGTCGATTCCGTCGTATCGCTACGGCGAATCGATTTCATCGACCAAAGCCCACCGCCACGACCATGAATCTCGAGAAAAATAAAACTGCTAATCTTAAAGCGTCTGCGTGAAATTTCGTTTTAAGGAGCCTACCAATTAAAAAGGTGAAAGCGTGAATAATTATCACTGGTCGAGCAACGACGATAATTGTACCTCGTAATAGATTACGATCTGATGGCGACATGTTTAGATCCAGGAATAATTTCATCTCTTGGAAACGAGTAAATATTTTTCTATAACGATGTACACACAAAGTGTCGTAATTTCCAATTACGTTAACGATATATTCCCGTTCCAACGACAAAGGGAACACACTTTCCCGCGTACCTGAATTAATTCCACGGCGAACGGTCAGAAATTTCCGGACCCAAACATTAGGTGTGCTCGTAACGTCCAAAAGGGAAGATAATCGCGATAGACGCAAGCGAGGAGGATGAAAGGAATTAACTGTCGAAGAGTAAATGGAACAGGACACGAGTTACGAGCGACACGGGCATAAGTAGATGTTGGCTAAAAGGCCGGAACAACAATGGAATCTCATCTTCCATTCCCTGTGTCCAGAAATTCGACGTTAAATGTTGCCTCTGGATCGTCGCGAATAAAGGAGCAGCTTCTCGGCCGCACGCGCCAGCGATTATCCCAGTCGTGGAAATAAAGAAGCACACGGTTAAACACGGCCATAATCGGTGAGGCGTACGGAAACTCGGTTTTGAACATTCCCGGTGCAAAGAGGCGGAAAGATACTCTGCGTACAACAAAAAGAAAAAGACCAACGCGGGAACGCGTACTCTGCGTTTAGACGAGTTCGAAAGCGCGCGATTCCAACCGGAAACGAGTACACACGCGTCCCTCGATTACCCAACAAGGCCAGTAGAACTGGGGCAATCTGTAAAAACACTGCTTTGAACACTTGACGAAATTATTTCTGAATTATTGTTCACCCAAACTATTCTTGAGATTTTTTTAAAATTTTGTTAAAATGGATTCCATAATGGAATTGTGGCGCTGCTGGCTGCAAGTAGGATCTCGAGAGAATTTCGTAGGAGAACAGAAAAGCAGGCCATGCCTTAAACGACTGGGATATTGGGAAGTCGTTCGAGGAGTGTATATATAGCAACCGAGGTGTCGATCGAGCGCTTGTGAGAGCGCGAGCCCTCTGGTGGCGAGCATGGGAAGCAACGCCACAGAATCTTAGAATGTCTTCTTTCACTATGTTCGTGTATTCCTTCTGCTTTTATTCTGTTGTCTGTCCATCGAGTTTGGAATGTTTGACACGCCCGTGGTAAACCGTTTAACGAGATAATAAGAATCTTCTCCAGTTCGAACAACCCTGAAAAAGAGAGAGGGCGTAGGATAGAAGGGGGTGCTTAATGACCGGATAAAGAGCAGAATTAACGCGATGGCCGGGAAAATGATGATCGCGGAGGAGCACCGATGTAAAATAAACAGTTAATCGGACGAAAGTGGAAAGTTAGAAAAGAAAGTCAGCCGTTAAGAGTTGCGCCGCGATGGCCGCGAGATAACGTCTAACGGAAGTTATGGTACTACGTCGTGGCCCCAGTGGAAGAAATTCCGAATTTTTACGAACATAATTCTACTTAATAATTGCTCCAAAGATTTCTCTACGCGCAACGTAATAAAATGTTTTGTATTTTTGAAATTCAGCCATTAAAATCTGTGGTATTCCAGGTTGCTGACAATAAATTTAAAAAAATGACAAGAACTGCGAGGGGTCGAGGGTTAAGACGGCCTCCCTGGGGGTCGTGTCCCCAAAGTTTGGAAAATACGAGGTTAATTAGACGGGAGAGGTGTAATCGCGTGTTCCCTGGACATACCGGGACGTCCCGCAAATCCTCCGACGCCGTTTCCGCTACGCTGCGTCCCGGTTTTCCCCCGAATCGTCGCAAATAAAACAGAAATCGGACGCGCGATTGCGACGTCGCGGAAACAAGGGGAAAAAGGGGACACGAACGATAGCACGAAACTATACGCGGGTCCCGGGGTTGGAGAGAGAGAGAGAAAAAAAGAAAAAAGAGAAAAGAAAAAAGGGGAGCACGCAGAAACGAGAGAAAAGCGACGTAAGAGCCGAGAGAGGAGGTACAAAAAAAAAAAAAGAATGTAGCAACGGAAAGCCAATGGAAGCGCACGCTCGTACAGAAACAATACAAACGGAGTGCTGTTTGTGCCTGTTGATATTATCGTCGGGTAGCGCTCGGGGAGAAAACATTCGAGCAAAGAAGAGAGCAGACAAAAACAATGTACGTTTTATGGCCCTCGGAGCAATATGCATGCGGCATACGTTTAGTTTTAAATTACTTCAACTGTTCGTACGTGTTCGGTCCTCGCCAGGAAATTAAAAATAGAAAGGAAACGTAAAACCGTTATCGGCGTGCAGGAAGACGCAATGATTTTATTCCTGTATACCCGTCTCGATATAATAATTCTAAATTGAATTCGGAATTTACGATACGCGGGTAATAAAGATATTTGGAAAACATTGCTTAAGTCGGTGTACTGGTTGAAATTTAAGAAAAGGAATGTAAGCAATGTTTAGATTTAATCACAATTCTTTTCGAAACAGTCTTATTTTATTAATAAGAAAATTAAAATTGAGGAAAACGTGAATAGTTCCTTAAAATTGTATTCCGTTGTGAATCCAGCGTTTCTATTATTATTTTCTTGAAAAGGACCAGTCGATGCATCGGGGTAATTTAAAAATGAACGCACGTTCCGTGTCCAAGAGTAAAAAACAGGATGTACAACGTTTCCGTCGGGCGTCGTTGAATATTGTAGGGCAAAACCTACTTTCTCCTTTACGCGAAAGAGGAGAAAAGGCGACGGAGGGACGCCGTAGGAGTGAAAAGGAGGTAGAGAACGAAGCAACGAGAGGAAAAAAGTAGATGGAGCGGCGGAGGGCGAAAGGAATTAAAAGCCCTCCGGCGTATCCCTGTCCATTTCCTTTTTTCGGATCCATGGAAAAGAGATCGTGATTTAAAAGGTAGATTTTCCGGTTCGACTCGTCGCTAGGTCCACGGGGACCGTCGCGCTCGCGCGAATTAAAGTCGAAATTGCGGGGAAACGGTGTCGGTGGCCGGGGCTACGCGATCCCCCGATTTTGCTTTCGGGTCATTCCGCGCCAAATCGATCAATTTTCGCGGTGGACGTCGGGGATTTCGTTACAATCGAAACGCGTCGCGATAGACGCGAAATTAGAGGAACGCGGTGCTCCGAAATTTATTATTCCACGGTCCTTCGAACATCGAATATCTGATTTTTAATTCGTCGTCGTCGACCCAGAAGAAAAGAGTTCGACGCCGGCGAGACGATGACTCGAGCTGCAACTGATTTTCAGCGGACTACACCATATTGCAATTTTCAGGGGAATTCGTCGGATCGACCGCGGGACGTGATCGATTTAGGCGCGGAACGACCCTTTTCCGCTCGAGCGACGCAGCTGCGCCTGGGCTCGATCGTGGAAAATCGGTCTCCGAGTCTCTGGGCCGGGTCGAGATCTTGATCGCCACGCGAGGCCACTCGGCCTGCTTATTTATTTCTCTCGTAAAGCCGGGCGTCGTGACGCCGCTTCCGTTTCAGCCGTGCCCGAGCTGCAGCCGATAAAACACCCGGCCGGCCGTCGCGACGTGAAAAATTAGAAGAATGTAACGGCGCATTGTAAAGCCGTTTTATCGAGACCCCGGCGATTTCGCCATTTTCTGGCGTCGCCCTTCTTCCGCCGTTTCCCTCGACGAAACGACGATTAGCCTTTTCATCCGACGCGATAAAACGCTACAGAGTCTTTGAACGACGCTGGTTAGTCCCAAGAAAACGTGTTCGAAGTATCGCAAATTGTAATTATTTTTTAAACGCCCAAAATGTTCGTAATGTTTTCCGAATAACGTTCGAATGCCTCGAGTGATTTCAGATTGAAATCGATTTTGGCCACTTGTACGGCGGAAAATAAAGGCGGAGTATTATTGGAGAGAGTTTTGCATTAAAAAGAACCGTTTGGCATAGTTACAGCGGCTGGAGAGGGTCAGGAATATTTAGAGGTACTAATAGGTGTTCTGACTGCCATTATCCTACTTCTTCTGCTGGTGTTCGTCATTATTCTACTTCTGAATCGACGGCAAAAACTTCAGAGCTCGCCGACCGTGTTGAAAAATCCATTCGGATTTGCCATAAACATGAAGGTAAAAGCCAGTCCATAAATATGCCGGAACTTTTCTAATTTGTCGTTAAAAGTCCGCGGAACTTGGCCATCCTTTAATGATATGAATCGACGTGATTCCGTTTGGTAAAATGGAGGTCATACTTTGACGGCCTCCCTTTTTATTTCGCTTCGAATTAAGGGACGCCACTGCGACTAAAATTGGCTACCGTTCATTACGTAAAATTTTAATAGAAACACTTCGTTGTTTATTAACGACTCCGTCAAAAATGAATCTGTCCAAGTGTCCTGCCTTGATTACGAAAGTTTAAATGTTATCGAGGCGTTGAGCGGAACCAGCAGATTCCTCCGCGTGTTTTCGATTAAAAGAAACGATCGTTTGCAGGGTCTCCTCCTAAATTTAACCCCCGGCGGAATGCTGACAGAGACTGCCAATCACGTTTCGCCGGATATGCCGGAGGACGGGAGCATGCACGAATCTTTAACAATGGAACAATTCAATTCACCCCTCGTCAGCCCGCAGTATAAATCTACGTACGCGATAGTGGCCACTTCCGGTGAGTTTTTAAACGTGAAATTGTTTTGTTACCCGTCTCGAAGAACAGCCATGGGACTTTACAACGACGATCGAGGCTTTCCAAAACTCGAAACATATCGGGTCTCAACAGGTGTCGAGCGTTCCTTAAAAAACAAAATAAAAATGATCGATTATCCAATTTAGTACAATTTCTTTGGCGTTATATAGAGAAATCAACCAGTTCTTCGAGTAAAGAAACCACGAGGCTGAATTTATCGTTTAGCTTACGATTTATTTTGTGTGTCTCCGTTCAACACTGAACCATCAAATCGTAGCTGGTCGAATCGTAAAGAAATAAAATTGGTTTTGCTCTCTTTAAAAAGAAGGTGGTGGGCAGTGGCTTTGATTACTGGAGAAGGGGCCATCCGTTGATCGAAAGAAAAATTTCGAAAGAACAAACCGTTTTACAGAACTTGTTGATTTGTCTTCGCCCGCGTCCACCTGGATGGAACGATAGAGAAACTTCGTAAGAATCGATTTCTTCGCAGAATCTCCGAAAGACTTGAAGGACGTGAACGTCTCGGAGGAGAGCGTTCGACTCGATACGAGGCCCGAATCCACCATAGGGCCGCCTAGCTGCTCCTCGTCGCCTACCAACTCCCCCGCGCGTCATTCTCAGCACTACAGGACCCTTCAAAGTTACTCGAGTCCAACTGCCAAACTCAATATCGCGGCTACGTCTAATCACCAACGGGACGTCGATCAGATCCACTCGAAACGCTGGCACACAGCGCCTAAGGAGAAACACAAGGTTAGTTTACGATCAACGCGGCCTCCACATTTCGACGCTTGGCAATCCCCACTTTGCCTTCGTCGCTTCTGTCAACCGTTGAGTGGCTAAAATTAAATGGTACAATACGATGGATAAATATATACTAAACATATGTTACGATTGGAAATATATTGCCCGTGTTTAGAAATTATTGTACGATTATATAACAGTTTCAAATAATTCACTGCAATCCCCACATACAGAGTCTAATAAAGAATTTGAGTCTTGAACCTTTCGAACATTGTTAGAATTTCGAAATATTCTTCACTAAATGACGCATTATTTACATTTCGAAACATTAAGATCCTCTAATCCGTTCAGAAGTTATGATTTTTTAAACATACATATGAAATTTCAGTGAAACATCTCAATGTATGGTCAGACATTAGATTTTCGGTAAGGAATTTTTTTCTCGAAAGTGCGTAGGAATTCGAGGGTATGTGTAATGACAAGAAATGATTGTGATTGACTCCCCTAGCTAAAAATAATTTTTATAGAATGATTTGAAATCTTTTAATTTCGTCGGAAAATATCTGCACTTACGAATTTTTTTCTCAAAAGTGTGTAGGAATTCGAGGGTATGTGTAATGACAAGAAGTGATTGTGATTGACCCTCCTAGCTAAAAATAATTTTTTTAGAATGATTTGAAATCTTTTAATTTCGTCGAAAAATTTCTGCACCTACGAATTTCTTTCTCAAAAGTGTGTAGGATTTCGTGGGTATGTGTAATGACAAGAAATGATAGTAATTGACCCCTCTAGCTAAAAATAATTTTTATAGAATGATTTGAAATCTTTCAATTTCGTCGAAAAATTTCTGCACCTACGAATTTCTTTCTCAAAAGTGTGTAGGATTTCGTGGGTATGTGTAATGACAAGAAATGATAGTAATTGACCCCTCTAGCTAAAAATAATTTTTTTAGAATGATTTGAAATCTTTTAATTTCGTCGAAAAATTTCTGCAACTACGAATTTTTTTCTCGAAAATGTCCAGGAATTCGAGGGTATGTCTATTGACCGAAAATGATTGTAATTAACCCCCCTAGCTAAAAATAATTTTTTTAGAACGATTTGAAATTTTTTATTTTTAGATAAAGTTTTTGATTTTTAATAAACACAGCCATTAAAGGAACTATTTCGTTTACAGATACCGACGCCTGTTGTCAGTTGGAACATCGCGCCCAGCATGAACAAACCGTACAAGTGCAAGGAAATAGAGCCCACCAATATACCGCGACAGTGCCTGCGTACGACAGAGAAACTTGGCTCGAGGAGTATCGGCGAGGTACGGATAAAACCGATTGGGAAACAATGCACTTTGCTACGTGCACGCAGATGCACAGCCACGATCGTGCACGCGTGACTGACTCGGTAATGTGGACGATGACGTAACTCGATTCTCCGTTCCCATTCGTATCGTTGACCCTTTCTATCACGAGTTAATCGTTTCGATGCAAGAGGGAATATTTCATCGAAAAATTTGTCCCAGGTCGACCATTTCAATTTCAATAATTAACTATTATATTCAATTAATAATTCAGTAATTCTTGAGGAGGTGATGTCCTGTCTACGATAGAAGAAGCGAATTTTGAAAAGTAGAATATATTTTTCTGGTAAAGATCCATTAGCAATAGTGGAATAACGCGGAATTGATCGTTGCCACGGTGAACTTCGCTATCCGATAATCGATATCAGCGGCGTTGTAACGCGGTACTATTGCGACTCGGCGATACACCATAACACGAACGTCTACAAACTACACGGAAACTTTGCGCGCGGAACATCGAAGAGAAACGACAACGAGGTTCGGGAGATAATGCATTTACTCTGTACATTACGCGCGGATAATATGTGCACGCGGATGCAGATTTCCGTATCGATATACGTACTTCGGGGATTCGTCGATTCGCCATCGACGATCGTCGAAAACGCTGCACAGCGTGAAACTGTTGTGGCCGACGATCGATGCTGATCGACACGAGTTAGGAGTGACAAAGTGTTTGGGACTCGAGCGTCAGTAAACAGAAACTGCGGGGTAGAAATCGAATGAATCACAAAACTTTTTGTTCAAATTATTCTTATAACTTCCTGTATACTGTATAGATTCTCTGAAACGATTCCATACATCATTCAGTGCACATTGGTTAAATTGTTCGAATCGATACTCGAATCCGAATCCTCAGGAACTTTGCGTTTCATCCTCCACTCTTAATCCTTGAACGATACCAAAATGGAGTCCCGCGGTCCGAAAAAATGCAACGAAGAACCGAATTTTGGTCCTTTGACCTAGAAACGAGCGTTTCGATTTCGATAACCCGTTTCTCTCGTTCGCAGGCGATAGTTTGCGAAACTATCGGATTGGATGACACGGTGCACGACGCCCCGCGATTGGTGGTGGCTCGTGTGCCAGCCTGCACCAACGACATCCGGGCAGGCAGCGGGTCGGATCAGATGCGAGAAGTTCGATTTCTGTCCTGTTTGTCCGATCCGAATGTGGCTCGGGTCTTGGGAGTGTGCACGGTGGAGCCTGTGCCCTGGACGATCATCGAGTACACGGAACTCGGTGATCTGGCCCATTATCTTCAGTACAGCGTGCCACTTACGGGAACGCTTAGGCCAAGCTGCAATCTGAAAGCCCTTAGGTGAGGTCCCGGCTGCTTATGACAGAGATCCTAAAACGATACACCGGACAATCTAGCCGCGTTTACGACCGTTACGAAATGGTTTCGCAATCTATCCAACATTCACTTATGGCGGTTCACGCTGGCCCTTGATCGATCAAACTTTGGTTCCTCGATCTTTCGTTTATTTTGTGGAAAAGATGATAAAAACTCCAGTTACGACACACATAGTCGAGTCAATTTCAATCGAAGATAAAAATTACAAGAATATATGAATAACAATGTTTACGGTAGATACTTTTTGAACGAGATTTTGAGTAATATTTAGAATTTTCAAGCAGACAGTGGACGACTTATGAATTATGAAATTTTCTGGGTGATCACGCTAACCACCGTGACTCATTATACCAGTCCTAATACGATTACACGATTACGATTCCCATCGTTATTATACTAAAGACTAAACCTCCCCAATTATACGATTAACGTATAATACTGTGAATTATTATCACCAAAACATCGCTGGGATATCGAAACGAAGGATAGAGGACAATTTGATCGATCTTATTAGAGGAAAGTTAATAAAATTATTTTCTTTTTTCGTCATCTTAACACCTGAAATTCGATGTTTTTATGCATGACATCGATGTTCAGTGATCGATGTCAATTTTCATTATGAAATCCCATTCCATCGATCACAGTTGGACGGAACTTATAAATCAGTAACATCGCATTTAATTAATAGTTTCTATTACTCGAAGAAAGGTACAGAGTGTTTAATAACATAAACCTGCATCAATGATAAGCTGTAAAATAATCTTGATCATTCTATTATAGAGTTTCTCGATATCAAATATTTTGTAAGTTCAATGATCCCAAAAAGTAAGAATTCAACAGATTCAGACCTCGATATATGAAATCGTTCGTTCGAGTATGGCTATTCTGCTGAAACGGAACATGAATAATTCACGTAGGACTTGCATGTAACGAAACTACTCGATTCGTATAATTAAATTGATATAAAATCGTTAACCTAAAAGAAGGGGTTCACTGTTATGAAACACGCTGTACATTGCTCGTATCGACGTCGATGAATATCAAAACAAGGTGGTTCTGGGAAGATGGACGAGCGACTCGATTAGTTAACGTCGTAACGCTGAAACGAAGTATTGTGTGTTGCCAGTCAAAGCTGCCTGTTGTACATGGGGACGCAGATAGCATCGGGCATGAGGTTCCTCGAGTCGAAGAATCTGGTGCACAAGGACCTGGCAGCCAGAAACTGTCTAGTGGGCCGCTCTTACACCGTGAAAGTGACCGACATAGCGATGTGCAGTGACCTTTACAAGAAGGATTACAGTGACATAGGCGGCAGACCGCCGGCGCCGATCAGATGGTTGCCGTGGGAAAGCATTCTGCTGGTAAGGCTTAAAACGATCCGCTCGATCTCGCGAATCTTACCGTGATTTTACGCTTTAACGAACGCTTCGACGATCCCGTTTCAATTCCAGGACAGGTACACTTGCTCGAGCAGCGTTTGGTCATTCGCTGTCACGCTCTGGGAGGTGATGAGCCTCGCCAGGGAGAAGCCGTTCCAACATCTGACCAACGACCAAGTCATACAGAACGCCGAGCATATGTATTACGGAGCTGAGTTGCAGGTATTGACTTCATCGACCGATTACTTGAGGGTTTCAAAAAAAATTTCTCTTGATACTTATTAAACTCACGCATCCAAATTTAGTTCTTGGAATAGAAAAGTAATTGTATTCGAGCAGCCGGTTACTTCAGTTTCTCTTGAAATTCAATATGGCCGACGGTGAGTTCGACTGAATAGCGTTCCCGTTTTCAGATATACTTGCCGCGACCGACAATGTGCCCCGAGGAGGTATACAGAATGATGTGCTCGTGCTGGCGAAGGGACGAGACCTCGAGACCCACGTTCAAAGACATTTACACGTTCCTGAAAAACATGATCGCGGACTACCGACCCGGTGCATAAACGATCCCAGTTAACTGTGATAATAAAGGACGTATCTCCATTGGCCGACGACGAGCGTCGAGGATGTCGAGGATCTGTCGAGTCTGAAACCTTCGGAAGTGTACAATCGTTAGCTTTTAGTGTGCAACGCGTTGGACGCGAGTCGCGTTTCGAGTTGCTTTCGATCGGTGAAGATCGAGAGGGAGGAGTGCCATGTTCTGTCCAACGACGACGAAGGACGGAAACGGAAACGAAACGAGACGCCACCAACCACCGGAGAACTCGAAACGATTTGTCGTGGTTTCTAGTCAGTTCGGTTCTTCGGATTCCTACGAGAGTGCTATATCGTGTATGTACAGTATTCTGGACACCGTTTACGCGTACGCTACGATGCTAAGCACCGATAAGTCTATCCAATTGTACATACGAAATCTAGATATCGATGCTAGGCGAACGCAGGGAACTTCTCGGAGGCGGTCGTCGCTTCGAAAGGGGCACGATCCTCCGATTGAGAGTCGATCCACGATTCCGAAGCATCCCGTCGTTACGCGCGACGTTGTCCGTTCGTACCGGCAAAGATTATAGTTTGTTCTTTCATTTATACTTTTGCGAGATGGGAAACTAGGCGATAGATTTCGTAGAGCTTCGTACGACGTATCCTAGTTGCCTTTCGTTATTCGAAATGTGTGTTTTCCTCCAACGAACGAATAAATCTGACAGAAAGCTGGACAACTTCGCGCGGCACGACGGAATAATTCGCGCGACCTCGAATCGTATTTGAAGTTGATTTACGGATGAGTTTCGTTAATATGCGTTCGATCGATTCGATGGGATCGAATCTCGCTCGAGATCGTCTGTCGCGAGCTAGTCGCGACGAATGACCGATCTCGAGCATCGACCATCGGCTCTAGACGATAAATTTCGACTCACTTGTGTACATTCGATGCCACGTCTGGTAGCAAAGTACTTATATCGTTCCATTGTATTCCTTTCCGTTCGAAAAGAAAAAAAATAAATAAAAAACGAAGAGATCTCACTATCTTTAGCGGGCGGTAGACACGAGACCCGAACTTGTAAGTCTGTTGATTCGCGGGAACGCGACGCATATCCACGCTCCTTCTTTGATCTACGATTAAGGGCAGAGGCGAGCGATCCACGGAGACGTAGCGACTGTCACGCTTCGAGAGGAAACGATTAAACGTTTTAGGCTGCGCCGTAACTCGAATTTCCAAAGAAAAAAAAAAAAGCCGCGAACGAATGTTTGAACGCGACGACGCGAAACCAACTTTGTCGACGGACGCGGTCGATTCAACAGCACCCGTGACCATTGGCAAAATTTGGCAAATTTTATTCGCGAATAAAGAACAGATACGTTGATCCGCTCGTAAACTAGCCTAGATTGGATATTCGTTTGATCACGATACTTTGAGACGCGTTGTTTTAACACTATTCCACGCAAAGATACGAAGTGTTCAACAAAATAATATTTTCACGAACGTATCGAGTATAATGTTTATGGTATATTAAATTAACGTGGTCCAAGCTGGAAAAAGTTGAAACAGCCTCGATCACAGATTCTAACTCGACAGGGGTAGTTTTTTCCTTGAACCGTAGCAATTGCAAATGTCTCTGTGCATAGAGCAGTATTTTAAGTAATGTAAAAGTAATTATACGTAAATACAAAAAGTCTAATTTACGAGCGGGTCGAAAATCGTTGTTTCTTGTTCGAGAAATAAGATTTTGCTGATTCTGGTCAATGGACCTATCCCAGGCCTGCTGGTCGAAGGGAAAAAGGGAAAACGCGTTTAGAGTTCGCTGTTGGTAAAGTGCCAAAACAGAGTCAGACGTTCAAACGTTCCCCTCTGCACGCACCCTTTCTGTAATTCTTAAGATGGATTCAAGTATACGTTCAAATGATTAATAATAAAGTACCGAGTATTCCTTTCTGACTGTGGCTACTTCATTCTTTCCGCGCGTTCCTCATCGTTCAACCACCTCGTTCCACAAACGGAACTGGTCGAACGGTAATTGGACGCGCAAACGAGCATAATTACGGCAATGAACGATCAAGATAGCGCGGAAACAAACCTTTATTCGTTATCGTTTCGTCGGAACGGGTAAAAGCTGCTTTGCACCTTAGAATCGGTAACCTCAAATAGGGTCAATTTTAGAGCATGTCTTATAAATTTTTTTAGACCGAACTCCTCGACTCAAGGTTCAGAATAATTTCCAAAAAGCTGTAAGAAGAATGGACAAAGTAAGTAAAAATATTAATACTAAACAATTTATACTTCTTAAGTTACTTATGGGTATATGTATACACCTCTCTGACGCGAGGCTTGAAATATGAAAAATAGTTAATTGCTTCTTAGAATTCGGTAGACGTCTGTAATTCTTTACTTTACTTTAAAATATATTACAAAAGGAATGTTTGAGGAGCTATAAGTCCCATCTCGTCGACCAGAATAATTCTGTTTGCCCCGTCGAGGCCCATAAGTGTACGTAAATTGCATAATTATCGGTATCGTCGGAGAATAAATTATATCTGGCCCTCGTCGGGGTCCAAATATAATATTTTTTTACACCGAGAAACGGCAGCGTCGATTTATAAATACCGCTTACGGAGAACGTAAAAAAGAAGAAAAATCGATTGACCCAGAAAGAGCGATTACCTCGTTGATTGCCCGTCGAATCACACCGCGGCAGAACTGTTAACGCGGGTTCGACGAAATATGGAGGACGCCTCCGATGGACGCTTATGGTAAGCAATCGAAGATGACGAGGTTGAATCATCGAACGGTCCGGGTCACTTAAATGCATATCTGAACCGACGATACGGAGAAGCAACTACTCAGTGGCTGCAGAGTGGTCTGTTTAAAGCAAAATTCCGTGTTCCGGCGACTCTCACGGAGTCGATATCTTAAAAGGTTGCCAGAACAATCGTTCCTCGGTCGGGCATGAACGACTCCGCGGAGGTAGTTCCATTAAAACCATGGAACGCTCATAAATCACCGGTAAACCTTTTATCGGCACAATTCGGATAACATTGGTTCGCGTCGAGAGGAAGCTCATTAATCTCTCTCCGGCGAAGTGCATGGATCCGATTCGATCATAGAGACACGGCCAGAAAATTGATGGCGATTTTATAGGGGGAGGCTGGCAGAAAGGACCCCGTGAGGCGTGAACTGGAATCACTTCGATTTCACCCCTCGGCGGTGGAATAAAATTTTAAGAAACGATTCAAAAACCCTGTAACCTTTTTCCCTTCTAAATTGCTTCTGTTCGTGACAAGGGATTCGAAAGAAACTCCCTCTTCCTCGATTTTTTCATTTAATTATTTTTTATATCGAATTTAATACCTTTTATATTTTTAATATATTTCTTTTCTTCTAGTTGAAGTATTTGAACGCTCGAAAAATTGCTTATTTGTACAGGTATGGTTTTTCATTAAATTAATTTATTTCGAACGGAATATTAAGTCTGCTTACTTAAAACTCTTAGTCGTCCGAATTGGCAAAACAACTCGTTCGAAGTTTCCAGGAATCAAACGACTTTTTAAACCAAAGATTACGAAAACAGTATGATAACGCAAAGTCGTAAACACGATTGATAAGCAGCGTAGGCGATTGCCACGAAAGGGGAAGCACAAAAGCGCGCGTTGGCTCAGGAAATCACCGGACGGATCGATCGAGCGGCTCGAAGACAGAACCAACAATGTGTTCCGTACGTTGGTTCCCGAGATAATGAAATGCACGACGACAAAACGGCCACGAGCGTGTGCCAGTGTTGGTATCACGCGAGTGTGCGTGTCGCGTAACGCTGGTCGCTTACGTTTATATAATGCCAGAGCCGGGAAAGTGAGACCATTGAATCGTCGACTGTTAAAGAGACACGCGCACCTCGAACGTCAGCGACAACATGAAGAAGTGCTGCCTGACCATGGTCCTCCTCGCCCTCGTGTCCACCCTTCTGCTCTCCACCGGTAAGAAACAAACGATCTAACATCTCGCTCTGAGAACTCCACGTCTCGCCTTTTACTCGAAACAGTCGAACAGTATCGCGAATAACAGCTTTTCGACGAAGAATTTGATTCCATTGTTCGTGCAGGGGCTCGTATTAACATATTAATTTACCTTCCCCTTTTAGTTTCATTTATTATTATATTTTTTGCGTCGTGTACGATGGACAGGCGTTCTCAATGCAAGTTCAATTTATTATCTTCCCTTTCTGATTCCAATTTCGTTTCTCTATAGGCAAACGTATGAGATACTGATTTTATTTTTGAGAAAAGATCGTTTCCGTTTGATTTAATAATACTCGAATGGTTAAAGGATCGAGGCGAACCGTGGACTTATTGGAATCTTGACGAAAAATGTTTCGTCGTGATTTTCCGCCGGCAGATTACTTTCCCGCGTTGTGCTCCCCCGATCTTTGTTGTTCGGTGTTTAACTTCGATTATGGATTTCACGACGAGGTCGCATGGAGAACCGAAAATAGCTACGGGTTACTCTTTGATCGCTCGAAGAGCGAATGGCTTTCTTTACCGCAACACAAGAGCGTTCGTGGTAAATTGAAACATGCGCCCCGAACCAGCTCGCCTCTCAACCCTTTCTTTTTACGTTCGCGTCGTTTCGCTCGGTCGAGTGACCCCGTTCGATATAAAAACCGGCGCAGAAAGGAAAGGATAAATTAATACATTAATATACGCGTCTGCACGATTTAACAACGGAATTAAAGATCCATAAATCCGTTTTACTACGAATCCAATGATATATAAATTACCGTAAGCTTTTAAAGGGCTGGTAAATTATCTGATTAATACACTCATCTATACGATTAAACGATAACAATTTAATTTGCAGTCTTACGCGAGCAATAATTGTTTCGATGTCAAAAAGAGAGGAAAACGAAATTTAATGTAATAAACAAACTGTAAAGGAGTAACGAATTAATTAAATGACAAAGACAATTTAGGGGCCTATGTGGTGTTTGAAAAATCATGTAATTGTTGTTTAAGGTTGCAAAGAAGACCTTTGAAGTATCATTCGCGTTAAAAATATGTGTTTCAGAGTATGCAGCTGGAAACAGCGTGTGCCCCCTGGAGAATTGCCTCGATTCTAAATTGTGCGACGACTTGCTGGTCGGTGGAACGTGTCCACAAACGACTGACACGTGCTGCAGCGTAGGTATGTACGCTTAACGTTTTGGAGCAGCTCGTAAACGAAACAGCCATCGCAGAATCAAAGTGCAGTTGAACTTGGTCATAACGCGTCCAAGAATAACGATATTGCGGCTGCAACGACCGAGAAACCGTGATCATTGCAATTCGCGTATATTCCCAAGGATGTTGCTCGATAAATAATCGCTGATTTTTGTAAATCTCAAGCTCGCGTTTATCATTGTTTATCTACTGGACCAGGACTCGCACGTGGTTGAGATCGTATAAAAATGGAATTAGTCGGATGACGGATTAAAATGAAAAAAAAAACGAAAGTTGCAGTAGCCTGACACTTTTTGTTTCAACGGTAGACGCTCGGGGAAAGCGTTAAGAAAGTAGGCGGCATTGCACGTTTTGTAGGAGCTCTTTAATTCTAAGAATGAAAGGTTAAACGATACCAGAAGCAACTGGTTATGGTAATTCAAAAGATCAACGCATAAGTGTATTAGAAAAATTGGCTGCTTTTTTTTGTTATCAAGGACTGTCAGTCGATCTATCTCCAGGCTATACTGATCATTAGAAAACGAAACCTCGAGGGTGGAAATGATATTTGGAAATTTTTCCTAACGTCTAACAATGTCTAATAAGACAATGGGGTTTTCGTTCGTCTTGATTAGACAAATTTTAAAACGCCGTGTTTTCGAAAAACAGAAGGAGGCAAGCAACAATTTAATTCCACGTTTTCGCGGGAACCACGAGCATCGGGACGGTCCGCTCGGGGGCTCGAATGGCCGATAATTTCGTTTCGCGTATAATTTTATTATTTTTCCTCGCCGTTTACGCGGCCGTCCGTCATTGATCGTCCGTTACGCGTCGAAACGTCACGCTTTCGTTTATTCGTGTCACGACGCAAAGTACACGAGATCGATGGTAATTACGCGGCAGTAACGATAACGTAACCGTGCGTTACCACTGGATATAGCAATTTCACGCTCCCCGGTACCCGGGTACGCACGCAACGCCATAATTTCTACTGTGCCAAATCGGCCATTCTCGAGATTCACTTTTGCGCGGCGTGAATTTCGAACGAACGGTTGACGAGTCAATTCATGGCGTCATCGTACACACTTTCACGAGACATGTCGCCTGGCCAGCGTCCCACTCGACAGTCCAACCAGAAATTCCACGGCTCGATAACTGGCCAAATAACAAAAATTTTCTCTCCTTTTTTTTCATAGAGATTAACACTGAAATCGATAGCCCCGCTTTAAGAACTTAATCTGCCCGTTTCGGGGGGTGGAAAAATTTTTTAAAAAAGCTTCGAAGCATTATTTTGGCTTAGCGTGGTCCACGAGGAACGACTTTTTAATTTTTAAATATCTTAAAATCCTCGACTTTTGTTCGCAGTGAAAACGGAGCACAGGACGCACTGCCGCCATTTTGGGGGCGAATGCATGGACTACTGCCACCAGAACTTGCAGAACATCGTCGTGGATTGTCCCGCCGACAAAATCTGCTGCACGTTAGTTTAAGAAAACGGGGGAAGCCGTACCCCGTGAAATCGTAACTTTAATATATGCGATTAGCTTCGCGCGACGGCTGCAGAGTCACGCTGCATCTGCCGGTAGCATGGCGGAAAAGCGATTTTAATTGGTTTTACAATTACAACGGTACATGCCGCGGCGGGCGAGTGAAAAATCGAATACGCCGCGAGTGAATTGCCGTGGCACGAGGGGCCCGTCACGAATGTGGGACTCTTCGACGATAAATAGCGCGAACGTAAACGTTGTATCCTCGATGATTGGTAGAAAGGGCCTCAGCCAAAATTACGAGTCCTTAATATACTGCAAAAGTCATTACTTCGAATCATCGGTACTGTTACGATGAAAATAATTTTATAATAATTTCAATTCAATCTTTCACCGTTTTTTGCCGCCATTGCAGTTTGATTTATAAAGGCTAAACAAACAAATCGTATCTTGAAATTGGACAATTTTTCCTCAGCCCCTTTCCACCAAACATAAAAAATTTGAGTGATTTTACCAATCCTCGAGATACAGGCGCTGCAACTGTATTAGAAATAAATCTTCTTAATAGATATACGATCACCAGGTGAATATGTATTTCTAATAAAATATGTGTGCTCAGCTGTTGAGATTGATTACTCGACCTTCTCACCCGATTGGAATAATTTGCAAATGATTTTACAACGATTACACCGCAGAAATAATCTTTAAACGTAATAATAAAAAATCAGGTCTGTTTATGCTGCTCGCCGGGGTCGTTCAATTGTTTACGAAAGATATCGTAAATAATGTTAAAAGAGCCTCGTTACGTGGCTGTTAATTTTGTTTCGTCAGAGGACGGTGTATAATTTGGGTTACGAGGAGTGTGAATTATGTTGTTGAACGTTGATCCCGGCGAATAACAGTGACGAACAATATTGGTGTGGAGGCAACCTAACCGGAGAGGCCGGTACCGCGAGGCGGAGGCGAGCTGAAAAATACAGGAAGGACGCGCAAGAAAATAAAGAGAAGCAGGAAGAAATAAGAATTAGATGGAAGGGGGCACGCGTTGCCGGGGGCGATGCAGGCTTGGACGTTTCATAGTGCTCGGACGCACGCACAGGAGATTTAGGGCCGTGTTGGTCGGCCCTCGGGGGTCACTAGCAGAATCGCGCGGCCAACAGAAAAAGAGGATGTAACGCCACGGGGCTCCTATCGTCGGCCATCTGAACGGGAGATAAGAAACTGGACAGTGACGCGTTCATCGATGTGAATTAATGTTGTAAACTGTTGGCGTGCAAACGGATAACACGCGAAAAAACGTCGCGCATCTTTTAAATGCTGATGCCGGAATGAATCTACGTCCACGTCAAACCGTGACCGAGGAGGAAATAAAGAACCAAGAGGGACAAAAAAAAGATACCTTGCCCGCGGCGATACACGTCGAACATGTGACACTAAATATAGAGACACGCTAACGCTACGGACGAGGCAACGGAACGGTCCGAAAAGTAACAAAATAAACGTTCGCGTACGACCAAAAATCGACGGAAACAAAATACCTGCGGAAAAGACAATCTTCCCGCTCTTTCGAAACCGGGGAATTCCGCCACGGTTGGATGGCGCGTTAAAAGTACTAATGAATGCAATATAATGGATTATAGAATTAATAATTTTGTTCCTGAAACTTAGTATCGAATAACCCCTTGCTGTACAATGACAAGTCTGACTCGTTATCAAGGCTTATATATTAAAATCGACACGTTTTTACATTCACGAGGCATTCGTAAAACAAATCTAATCTTCTCCGTGTTATTTGAAATTAAATCTCCGAAGATACTCCCGAAGCCAAGTACCAAACCGATTAAAATATTTTAATTGGCGAGTTGATCGCGAAAGAACGAGAATTTGTCGCCGTTTAACGATCGAGGGATTTATCGCGATCCCGTGGCTTTCATCGTGCCTCCCTGCCGGATGGTCGCAGCTAGAGGCTGCGACAGCCCGATAGGCATCCTCGTGTAACGCAAAGAGAACAGAATTATCAAGAAGAAGAATACGAGATAGCGAAGACGAAGAAGAAGAAGATGATGAAGGAGGGGTACAGGTTGCCCGGGGCGCTGCGGGCAGATGCCAGGTACGCTGGTACGTATACTTACATATACACACACGTAAGAGCCGTTTCGGTTAGCCCCGGGGGCGGAGGCGCGGAATCATGCAGCGTAGAAGAAGAAGGTGGCCCCCTTTCGTCCCCGCGGCCCCCGTCGTTGTGTGGAACTTGCCCCCGGGGGCAGACGCGGAGGTGTACCCCACCACGATATGCGGCGGAGCAACGGTCGTTCCGCTGCGGGCACGGAAACGAGAGGAGATAGCGGCGAGCTTCGTGCGCGTCCTCTCCGCCCCCGCTCGCCCGCCCGCCGCCAGCTCGCTGCTCCGGAGACGGGCGAGGGCACGGGAGGAGGGGGGGAATCCACACGGTGCCCCGGGGGCATCCAGCGAGACAATATGCTCCGTGAGCCCCCGGGCGACTTCACGACGGACCGTACTTCTCTTCTGGCTCCTCTCGTCCTCCTTTACCCGTCCTCCCCCCCCCACCCCCTTGGCCCTTGCTCGCTGTCCCCTCTCGTATCACACATTCAGCCCTTTCTTCGGACGCCCACCGATGCACCCTTTTCTTTTATCATTCCTCCTGGACGCGGTCTCCCCCGATCTCCCGGGAGTAAACTGCTGTTTGTTTCTCGACGAAACGGAACGTAAACCAAACGATAGCTTTGGAATCGTTCGAGGAACTGCGGGATTAACGCATCACCGAAACGAGTATTCTATCATGACAAGTGTGCGTTCTTCTGGTAATGATAAATTTGATGAAAACGAGGCATACCATTGGAAATTTTGGAATAGAAACTTCTTTTACATTTGATTTGCCTGTATTTTGTTACCAGAATATTTTGAAACTTGTTAGAACCAGCTGTACAAACTCAGCCATTGGATTTTCGAAAGAGAAGTTTAATTGATTTTCTATCTTGCCCCCAACGTTCCCCGTTCGAAACTTTGGCTGCTAAAAGCAAGAAAATTGAGCGGTTTGATAATAATAAAAAGTTCTGTAACAATTTGGAAGTCAATATTCTTGGCATTTGTCAACATTTGCGCTCTTTACTTGCGTCCAAATATAAAAGTTACCGTATATTTTCGCGACCAGTTGTTTCGGATCATTGTGCAACAACCTCTCTGGATTTCTTAGCAGCTCTCGTTCGAGCCACGTTGAAAATAATATGTCTCGTTCGTATACAATTTAATTGCACTTTCTTGTAAATTATTACTCAACACGTCGGTATACTTGTCGGCATTTATTGTCCCATAAATAAACGTAATGTTCACAACATCATTACACCCACGCGTCGTGACGCGTCCACCTCCACGTTCGACGGTTTGAAATTCTTTCGTCGAGGCCTGGCGTCGTTCCCTTCAAACTTCCTACAAAATTTTTCTAAAATTCAATTCACTTCTGCACTTTTATCGGATCCCAATTCCTCCAGCTTATTTTACACAAAACTCGAATAGTTTCTTAATATAAACTATATTTCCCTATAGCTATCTGCTCCTGCATTTCTCTGATCATATTGGAACAGTGTTACATCGAAAACTTAGCCTCCCTGTTTGCGGAAACAATGCTTATTAATGGGACGATAACTTTGGAGAGATTGACAGGACTTCTAGTGGCGAACGCAGGAAACGCCCCAACGATTTGCGCCGAAAGGGTGACAGCAGGACCCTGTCTTTCCTCGAGTAAGGACGGGATAAGGGTCGCCGGGTTGGTCGTTTTACAAGGAGGTCGTAACAAGGATTCCGATTACGAGCGCGGAAAGTTCGTCGTTGTTTCTCCGAGCGAAGGTTGGCTCTTCTCCGTCTTTCGATGTAATAAAGTGCACTACGGGCTCGCTTGTACCTCCTCTTCGTTGCGCCGCTCTATATTTGTCGTCCCTTCTTTCCCGTGGTCCTCGCCCTTTCTCGCTCTCTACCTTTTCGTCTGCCTTGTATGCTTGCTTGGAGGGAGTAACGATGCCCTGGGGCTGGCCTCCGCGCCGCGGCGCGGCTCCGCGGTAACGATAAGCAACGAAATGAAATATTAATGAAGTACCTGAGCGCGCGACCATTTTTCGCGGGCGTCTCACCACCGACGCCTCGGGTGTCGAAGAAAAAGTCACCGTCGCGGTACGACGAGGGCGGGGGCCGGATCATCGTCGACCGGAAAAATAGATAACGGTGTTAGAAGGGGGGAGGGTGGTCGAAAACTGTCGATGAAAGCTTGTTTCGCGGCGATAAAAATAATCGATGACGAGGTCAAACTTTTGTTCCCGAGAACCAACGATGTCTCGTGAAGAATTCTGATAATTAAGTGGTCTTTGGACCGTCGAAAAACAGCCGTTCTTTGCCAATTCTTTTGTCGAGAAATCAAAGTTTTCTGTGTTCTAGCGTCTAGCTATAATATTCATTTATTAACGGGATCGAACCCCTAAGGAACTACAGATGTGGATTTTACATAGTCAAACATTATCGCTTAGTGAATTTAACAAAAATAAATTATGGGAAGAAATATTATTTTTACTGGTGAAAAGTAAACTTGGGTCTAGAAAGATGCAAATCAACGCTTCGAACTCGAAGAAACGATTTTCTCATGCTGGGAATGGACATAGTGCCCTGAATACCCTTTAAGAATTTTGTATAAAAATTTGTTCGACGTTAGGTTACACCAATTCGATCTAAGGACTCCGTAAGGAGTTTTCGATAGCAACGTGAACGCCTCTTCGTCTACGGCGTTTCCAAGTGTGGGCAGCAGCACTCCCCCAGGAGCATTGGAGTCTTTCAGGGGTCGTAAAAATGACACGAAACTCGAGGGACGCGTTGACATTATAGGTGGAAGAAAAGAAATTTTTCACTTTATTGTCACTGTCCCGAGTGTCGTTTAACGTAATTATGAAATGGTAGGAGGTTACGAAGAAACGCAACAGGATTTGCCTCCATCATTCTTTCGCGTTCTGATGGGATCTGACATAACGAATAAGCGGAGAACGTCATCGTGCGATCGATCATTGGTTTAGTACTAATTGAGATTTTGTAAATTGACGCTACGTCGAAAAATACAGGAAAAGGCTGCTCTGAATTAACTCAGGTCTCTATTAATTATTAAAAAACTCCGTGGTCCAAAAGTCCAAGTTCCTCGTGCGGATCAACAAAGCAGTCGATCATCGTTATCGCGATGGACAGGATTGCCACGTCGGATGACATCTGACGTTGATTGGCCAACGTCGACGAAGAAAAACCGAGACGGGCGCCGTCGTACTTTTTCATCTACGATTTCTTATCCGTTCGCAATTACCGACGACGGTGTATAGAACCGCCGGTTACTATGTAGTCGTCAAGGAG